TTACGCGTTACAAACACGATGTAGACTTTATTAGGCTATGTACAACTTTATTTTATTTTTAAGCATTTTTTTAAGTTGTCATCTCTTTTATGCGTGGCATGAGAAAAGGAAGAATCCAGTTGTGATTGAAAATAAATTAATCACTCAACTTTTGGCATTTTGAAAGAGATCCTAATAGAATCACGAGTTCTTCTATAGTGCATTCATCATTGAGGCCCTGTTTGGCAGAATGGTAGAAATCTCTTATAAGCACATTTCACATAAGCGGAGACAAAATTTCTCTCACATACTTGTCTCATATTCCACAAATCACTATTAAAAAATAGGTTATAAGCTACTTATAAACTGTTCTAAACGAGTCTTGAGCAGTATAGTGTAATTAGGGTTTGGGTCTGAAATTAATGGTTTGAAAATATGCTGGGCCTATTAAGTTCAGAAGCTTATATGATTGGACATCCTAGAGGACTCAATTGTAGCTGGGCTGCCCAATATTCCATTGGGCTAACAAGTATTTAACCAAAAGCCCAATAATAAAAAACAAGAATGTCTTTCCCTAAGATCTGGTAAGCCCATAACTCCTATATTTAGAGTTGTCAAATCCTTCCATTAATTTCAACTCACTTCAATTTTCAGCACCCCCCGCCGAGGAGCGGGCTTCAACATCCATAGAAAGAGTTTTTTTATACTACATCTGCTACTAAATATAAAATTTATTTTTATAGTATTGAATATTTCATTCTATAACATAGCTAATATATTTATGTCTTTTTATCAAATTTCACTGTCATTTTAATTCTCATCCTTATGAAAAATATGTCACCTACTCCTTAAGAGCTTGTAATATCTGTGCCCCGCATGAAGTTGAGAGAATATCATCAAAATTCAAAAGAAAGGGAATTAAGTTTTGTCGGAGACTCTTTTCTTTTTTTACATTTTTCAATGAAAAATTGGAGAAAAAAAAGTATATTTCTATGAAGATACAAAATATAAATTAAAAAGTAAAGACAGATTCAGCACCCTTGTTTAATTTTTTAGATATATTTAGTACTCTGATTTTAACTTTTTCTTGTGTGCATCAAATACTTTAATCTTATATTTTAATTTTTAGGATGTTAGATATAACTTAAAAAATAATAGAAAGTATCAGATGTACCTTTAAATGAATAAAATGGATTAGATTTACAAGAATATCAACAGTTAAATACTTTTTTTTTAATGTGATTCTGTTTTTTACATACAGATATAAAAAGATGCCCGTTTTCATTTATTGGGAAACGAACACTTTCGCCACAATCATGAATGTGCTATTAATTACTTGGCAGACAGGAAAAAGAAAACCGACAACAATACGTGCTATTATTGTCATAACAGTAGAGTGAAAAAAACAGGCCGAGCGTGTCAGGCGGGTCTTTTTAGATTCTGAAATTATGAGAATTAGGTTTGAAATTTTTCTTCTCAGATGAGAAAAAGGTCCTGGAAAGCCGAGGGTTTAAAAGGACTAGTCCGTTTAGACCTTTTTATAATTTTTTAAAATTTTTTATATAATTATAATATGATTAATTTTTTACATTGTTAATAATATTTCAAATATTTAGTTATTATTATCATTTTAAAATTAAATTTTACAGAATGATTTGATTTATTTAGTTTTAGACAATAATTTATCTAATAAAATTTTTAAAAAATAGGTTAATTTGGACTTTAATAATGATTTGACTTATATTATATGCGTTGATATTTTTAAACTAATATATTCATATTTTGATAATATTGAAGTTGTCATGATAGATCTGCGTTTTTGCATTTCTTATATTTTTAAACTATATATATATATATTTGATGATAGAGTATTTTTATACTTATATAACTTGCGATTCTATAATTTGAATAAGAAATTCATGAGTTTCAACAACAATATTTCTCATATTAAAATAAAATAATAGCTAGATTGCAAAATTTAAAAGTAAAATTCCTATAAAGAAGAAAAACTTGATATTTTCGTTATGAAAGAAAAGCATACTTATGAAGAAGAGTAATTAATTATAGCGATGATGAAGTTTCAAAAGATTAATGATAGTGTTTATTTATTACACAATTACACTATAGATAAAACTTTTGGATGTTGTTATCTTGTTAATAAATGTTTTAGATGTTCTTAGATATTGATGGATATTTATATATGATGATATTTTGTATTTGTGATTTAATTTTATTCATATTTATGTCTTTTATTAACAATTTCATTGGTTTGTTTTTATTTTTTATAAAAAATATGAGAAATATAAAAATAGTATTTTTTTCTTAAACGGGCCGAAAGCCCGTGGGCCAACCCTGAGCCCTATAGCTTAAGGGCTAGGCCTAGCAAATTGGGGTATTTTTAAAATTTTAGCCCTGGAGAGCCGGTCCTTTTAAGCTCGCCAGCCCTTCCTTGATTCCCACCTCTAATAACAGGCGCATTAAAAAAAAAAAAGCAAATTGGGAAAAAGTCCCCATTTGAAAAATATATTAGTAAATAAGACTTGACAATTTGTTAGCTTTTGAGGTTTTTCCATCTAAATAAATTTCAAAATAAAAAGACCAAAATACCCTTAATTGCACATACTGAGAGTTTATTTGTATATAAGGAACATATGTTGCATATTATTAGAATTTGATTGCACCTAACCTAGGTTGTACATAATGGAAGATAATTGCAAAGAGTAAAAATTCAGTTACATAGAGAAAAGATATATTGCACGTAAGAAAAAGTCAATTACATTTATCTTATAAGTTGCAGATAATGGAAGATAAAATACAAGACAAGTTTAGTTCCACATAAGAAAGATATATTACATATAAGGCAAGTTAGATTGCACACAACATGCTTTAAACATAATGAAAAATAAATTACACATATGAGAAGTTTAGTTATACAAAAAAAAAAAAAAATATTGCATGCAAGGGAAGTTAGATTGCATGGGACATGTTTTAAACATGATGAAAGATGAGTTGCATATATTGAAAGTTTAGTTGCACACAGGAAAGATATACTACATGTTATTAAAGTTTGATTATACTAAACCTAAATTGCACATAATAGAAAATAAATTGCATGGATTGAGAATTATGTTATTGAGGTTCAATTACACATAACCTAAGTTGCACATAATAAAAAATAAATTGCACAAACTAAGAATTAAATTGCACATAGGGATGATATATTGCACATAAGAAAAATTTAGTTGCACTTAACCTAAATTGCATATAATAGAAGACAAATTACACATATGAGGAGTTTAGTTGCACACAAGAAATTATATTGCATGTAAGGGAAGTTTGGTTGCATCTCATATAATTTGCACATATTGCACTTATGTTTTAAGCATGTTGTGTGCAATCTTACATGTAATATATCTTTGTTATGTGCAATTAAATTCCCCATATATGCATTTTATTTTCTATTATGTACAATTTATAAGTTAAGTGTAATTGACTTTTTTTTACGTGCAATATACCTTCCTTATATGCAATGGAATTTTATTATGTGCAATTTTATAATTTAACCTTTCTTATTGCTTAAAGGGTCCCGTAAACAAGCACGTTTTGAAAACACATACACATGTACATAAATTTTATGGTAAAAACAAACAGTTAAATGTGTGGCACAACAACAGATTCAAAGGCTATAATAATTCGAGCAGGCTTTGCAATATTTTTGAGCAACGCGAATCCAGGTTCTTCTTGCTTGGAAAGCCCCTTGTCTGGATTTCTTTCATCATTAGTTGGCACAAAAACAAAAAACTAAACAAAATAGTCCCTGAAAGCGTCTTAGAAACCACGGCGAAATTATTTTAACAGTGATAGCTAGGTTTGTTTTAATAGTAACAAATAAAATTGTTACGATTTTAAATTTCTAAAACAAATTTGCAATTTTTTTTTTTGAAAAAAAGGTACCACAGTTATATATAAGCAATTTAACTCCTAAAAAAAAATTTTATAACAAAAATGAGCAACGTACAATGACAAGCTTTTATATGCAAAATGACAACAGGCATATACTAGTTATTGCTCATAAAACTTTTAATTGCTTATATGAAATGAAATTACTACCTTTTTCCCCAAGATAATAGTATCTTACTATCGCGAAGAGGATATGATCATCTAAACCAGTGAAAAATAAAAAGATTATGAAACTTTTCACACAAAAAATATTTTGTATTCACAATAATAGCATTAAATTTTGACACATCCAGGTAATGTTAGGTTATAATTATTTTAATATTATAAAATTGCAAATATGGCAAATAAAAACTCATGCCTTTAATTAGAAAATTCTATAAAGAGAGAATCCCAAACAAATACTTTTAAATTTTAAATTTTAAATCAGTCTTATTTAAGCAATACTAATTAACAATATTTAAAAAACAAATAACAACACATTTTGGTGGTTATTCCTGATTTGAGATTTTAAAATTTTAAAATTTTTTTATTGGAGATTCTCCCTTCTATAAATGAATATTATTTAATTTTCTTGAAATAACACTTCCCAATCTTTAATTTTATAATCTAAGCTTTCTTATTGTCTAAGGGTCCCGTAAACAAGCACGTTTTGAAAACAAATACACATGAATATAAATAATTATTATTTGGTCGGATTATTGTAGCCTTTGAGTTTGTTGTTGTGCCACACATTTACCTGTTTGTTTTTCCCATCGTATTTATAGAGTAAACCATATATATGATATACAAGTCTCATGAAAATTTGTATGTAGACAAGTTTACAGTTTAGTCACTGCCCTTAGAGAGACAGGGGAGGCATGCAAATAAGATGTTCTAAAAATAAAGTCGCATGGGTCAACTAATTTCTGCAAAAACAGCTTGGAACAAAATAAGACTTCCAAATTAACTGATCTTTGCAATTGTGAGTCATCTACGATGTTGGGAGACTCATTAGTCGAATGAAATGATCCAAGTCGCCTCATCTTTAATTAACCATTTCCAAATTTGTTAAGAAAAATTCAGAAAGTAGAGTTCTCTTGACCCACTACATTCCACTGCATTAACAGATGCATTTTGCTTTGGGGTCATCCAAAGCCTTCAAGTTAATAGCTGTAGTTGCACACCACATGAGAAGCACTAAAAATAAAGTGGCATGGAGTGATTATCTGAGAGTTTTTTTGTCAGACTTATTTCTGATTCCATTATTTGCAGTAATCATATCCTAGTTTTTATCCTTCTCATCCAAACAGAACAATCTATCCGCATTGCATCACCTTAAAAGCACACCGGCAAGAAAACTTCTGGTATGTTAATGACATACAAAGGTAATGAAAGAATAAGGAGAATGGAAGGCAGAGAGGTTTGATTTGAACCTAAGCATACCCCTCTAGTTATCCAGGAAACAGTTTGATCCGGTGGGTTATCTGAATCCGACATATAGGGCACATGATCAGCTTCATCCCACATTTTTCACAAGTCTGCGTCAGAATCACATAATTATCATCATTCTCATTAACAAAGAGAAGAAGGCAATAAAATATTTCTGGTACACGTATGCTTGGTTTCATGTTGGAAATAGTTTTGATAGCTTCCAACGTAAAACCAAAAACACTCTATAGAGTTATTACCATGTGTCCACATCCAAAGACTGTGTCCTTTTCATTGACCAGACAAACTGCACAATCCTGCATGTCATTGTAAATACATAGTGGGGAATAAGCAATAATCACAAGAAGCAAAATATTCGTAACCATCTGAAGATTAGCTTTCCTTCTCAGGATAACAGTATCTTACCCCCAAGGACTGGATTCTGACGAGAACCGATTGAGTTATTAGGTAGATTCACTATTTAAAATATATGTAAATTAACTTAATCATGAATAAACAAGTAAGCACGACACATGTGAATTTCATTGCAAAAATGAACTAGCATACTTAAATGATAATTTATGATCAGTTTAGTCTGTTTTGGTAAAAGGATTTTGTAAAAGGAATCTGCTGATTTGTTTTTTTTTTTAATAAATACCTTAGCAGCAGCAGAACCTGATGATGCTACTGTGGCAGCATCAAGGGCATCGGCTAATTCTAGTTCTTTTTCTTCAACTTGTCTCATGGCGTTTTCTCTAGTGTCTTGACATTCCAGCTTCAGCAACTGCACAAGCTCAAGCTTTTCCTGCAACTCTTTCTTCGTTTTGAACCATTCATTTAAACATAAAAGGTTACAAATTAATGGTCACTTGGATCCTTCAATCCATCCTAAAATATTCTGTATACATATAATCTACTATCATAACTGCTCTATCAATAACAAAAATCACTAGGCAAGGAGATTTAGTTTGGGAAAATCTCAACGCCAAATATGAAGAAACACTAATTTTGACCATCTTGAATTTAAGATAGTCAAAATAATATATTGAGTTCATAATGTAATAATATTGTCAAGATTTTAATGTTACAAGTTGACTGTAAACGAGTTCATAATGTTAATTTGTTTGAAATTATAAAGTTGGGATGGTGGGGACAAAGGAGCAAGTACCTTAGCAATGTTAGCATCATATCGAGCATACTCAGCTTCCTTTTGAACATGATCTAATTCTTGACTAATGTCTTCAACTTGTCGCATAGTAATTATTCTCATCTCCAGAATTTGCTGCTTTAGATGTATGATAAACTGTTCCTTTTCCTCCAACTCTTTCCTCAACTTGATCCATTCATTCTAGACGCAGAAGTAACCAATTAATACCCATTTAGGTTCTTTCAACCCATCCTAAACAATTCTTTAAGCACACACTAGTGTTTATACAGTTGCACTCTGCCAATATGTATAATCATTTTAACAGAGGGTTCAGTTATAAGCAGCAGTCAAGTAATTGGAAACATGCAACATAAAACGTAATTCACCAGAAGTAAATTACAAAAAATGCCTGTATTATGTTATCACATTGATACAACTCCATGTTAGTTAGTTCATGTTGTTAATTTGTCTAGCATATGATAAGCGGAAAATCAACTGAATTAGTACCTTAACAATGTCAGCATCCTTTCGAGCAAATTGAGCATCTTTTCGAGCATTGGCTAATTCTTGAATTATCTTTTCAACTTGTCTCTTGGCCAGTTCGGCCTCATCATTCTTCTCAAGCATAAGCGTCTGGACAGTGTTTCCTTCTTCTACCAGCATTCTTCTAAGTTTAGTACATTCACTCTGTAAAGTCAGCTAAAGCTATAAAAGAAAGGTAATGGAGTGATACTGTTGAAGCGTCACATTCAACTTCAATGGAAAAACTGAAAACATAGTTACAAATAAATTATAATGAACATTTCTGCATAAGTTCTCAAGAAAGAATGCAAGATTTATTATTTTTATCTTCTCTTACATGTTAAACATGAATCAGTAATTTTTTTTCTTTTGGGGAAAAAACCAACATAAATATCAAATCATTTTCAAACGTCGCCTCGCTCTACAGGCTATAAATCTCTAGCCACATAATGCTAGCGTGTTCTGCATAACTAAAGAGAACAAAAAAAATGCTCATTTTTCTTTTAACTATTCACGTCTGATCAAGGCATGTACTTGCTTTTAAATTGTAGAAGGATCAAATTTACCATTCGGAGTGAAGCATAAAGTTTTAATTTCCTGATAACACGGTATCAGAAACGGAGAAGAAATTTATCCAAATAAACCAGAATTACAAGGTAAAAATATATAATAAAAAAAGTTCGGACATAATCTGATCATATCCTTCGTTTAGTTTTTAAGTATGGCTTTCATAGCAAAATAATAATAAAAATGTGCTTTTTAAAACAATTAAATAAGTATTAATCAGACGCTAACTGCTTCTTTACGAATCAGTTTTGCAAATCCTCATTAAAAACTTTATTTCTATGACGTTTATCTAAACTTCACCCAGCAATTGCAGAAGCATGGAGGGCATTGGCTAACTCTAGTGCCTTCTCTTCATCCTGCCTCCTGACACTTACTCTCATCTCTTGATGTTCCAACTCCAGCAATTTGACAAGCTCTTCCATTCTCTTCAAATCGCTTTTCACCTTAATCCATACAATTCTTTAAGTATGCATAAAATTTTATAATTGCTCACACCAAAATATATAGTAGTTAGCAGATTCGAATGACAGATAAAAACATAGGTTAAGAAGCTGTTCAGACACAGAATATCTATCATTCATACTCTTATATGTTGTTATCAAATTGTTTTGCATGTAATGGTTCGTATTGTTAATCAATACCTCAGCAACATCAGTATGCTTTCGAGCTAACTTGGTGCCACTTTGAGCACAGGCTAATTCTTGATCAATCTCTCCAATTTGTGTCTTGGCTAGCTGCACCTCATCATCTTTCTCAAGTCTAAGCCTGTGCACAATTTTTTGCTCTTCTTCCAGCATTCTCTTCAGTTGAGCACATTCACGCTGTAAGATTAGATATAAATTAATAACGCTATGGAAGTGATAAACTTAAACAGTCATAGCAACCCAAACACAAAAAAGTTAAATAAATAATTACACAAATCTCTTCACCGGTTACAAACATGAAACAACTAACATTAGAGTAGTATTACTTTTGGGTTTTTATAAATTTTTGACTGTTTTTTGGAAAAAAATAAACCAAGATAAAAATCACATTCCTGCTCGATCCAAGAAGTAAGAATTTGCTTACAAAGCAGTACTATAAAAAAGTGCAGATACAATCTAACTGTTTTTTTAAGTATATACTATTCGGCTATTTCCCATAGATTCTCTCTTTATTTTCAAAGAGCTTCGGAGACTTGAAAAGGTTTAAAAATTAAGAAACTGAACATCTGTTAATCTTTGATGATCATACTGTTGATGGATCCCAAATCATGGTTATTTTGTCCAGACAGGATCTAACCTATCAAAGAGGCACAAATAAAATGCCTAGAAGAGAATGCTATTCTTCCTTTAAACTGGATGGAACTCCAGTGGTTTTTACACCCAAATCATTAAAACGAAAACATTCATATTCCTCCTTAAGAGCCACAGGTGCCATCTCACAGGAAAATAAGAGTGACGGAAAGGTGACTTCCATAACAAACTTGTGCAGGCTCAAACCTCAACATAACCAAAACACAATCACCCTGCCCAGGCTCCCCATTCCACAAAATCCCAATTTATAGAATCAAACCATAATTCCTCCTTCCTATTGCATGCCTATTATGAACAAATAAAAATTCTTTGCCATTCAAATTGGTTTATATAAACCTTTTCATCTTTTTTAAAGCACAAGAATCCTGTATTTTGCTTTTTGCAATGATTGCAACTTGTAAATATGGCCACCTCGTTGATAGATAAACATTTTAATAGAAATGAAAACTCAAACCTCAGCTATGTCAGCTCTAGTAGTTGCATACTCAGCATATTTTCGAGCATTGGCTAATTCTTGACTTGTCTCTTCAATTTCTCTCTTGGTCAGTTGTGCCTCATCATCTTTCTCAAGTATAAGCCTTTGGACACGTTTTCTTACTTCCTCCAGCATTATCATCAGTTTATCACGTTCACTCTGTAAAATTAGCTACGGGTTCAACATAATAGTAGTAAAGGGGCACAGTAAAGTATCACGTCGAATGGAAAAAAAGAAATTAGCAATGGGCTCAACATAATAGTAGTAAGAAGTAATATTAGAAACAGGGAAAAAATTAACAATAAAAGCAAACCATATGCTTCTTTTAAGTATGTCTTCTTTAGTGATTTAACAGGTAAATAATAAAGCTATTTTTGAAATAATTGACCAAATGTCAATCATTGAAGAAAGAACTTGCAAGATAACTCGTTGCAACACCAACTGCTTCTTCATTATAGAGTTAGCAAATGCTAAAATAACAAAGAAAAGTTCTTCGCAAAAGCCCGTCTGGATTAAGATGCATCTTTCAAGGAGGAAACAAACTAAAACAAAATTACAGGTGCAACAATAAACACCTCAGCAGTTGAAGCAGCACCAAGGGCATTATTTAGCTCCAGTTCTTTGTCGTCAACCCGTGTCGATACACCTTGTCTTGTCTCCTCACCTTCTGGCTTTAGCAATTGCACAAGCTCTCGAGTTTCTTGCAATTCTCTCTTCACTTTAACCCATTCATTCTTATAAACACAAAAAGTAAGCAATCAGTATACACTCAAGTACCTCAATCTATCCTAAATAATTTTTAAAGGGCCTGTAATACGTAATTATATCTGATCACACAAATACATATAACAATTTGGAGAGGAAATTAGTGATAGGTAAAATTTGAATGACAGATATAAACCAATATTAATTTCAGAATTCCGAAATTTAACAGTGGCGCAAAAATAAATATATCATTCAGCCTTGTTAGTCTAAATATTGTAAGAATTTCAAAATCAATGATGGAGGGTGGAAGGGGCCAAGACTAGCTAGAACCTCAGCAAAATCAGCTCTAATTGTAGCATGCTTAGCATCTTTATGAGCCTCAGCTAATAGATAGCTCATCTTTTCAATTTTTCTCTTGGCCATTTGAGCCTCATCTACATTTTCTCGCTGAAGCCTTTGCACAACCTTTCTCTCTTCTTCAAGCAGTCTTCTCAGTCTAGCACATTCACTCTGTAAAAATAGCAACACCGCCAGCTATAAGGGAGTGATGGAGTTGAAGTATCACAGTCAACTCAAATGGAAAAGTAAAATGCAATTATCAATACATAGTTATCCAACTTTATTGACAAATTACAAACAAAGAAGGAACTAATTCCAATGTGAAAGAAGCATAGCATTAGAGTTTCTTTACAGAGCAATATAGTACATCCCCCCCACCCCCACCCCCACCCCCGGCACCCAAACCCCCCCCCCCAAAAAAAAAAACTTTGGTTGAAAGAATCAACATAAAAAAGTACTGGCATAATCCAAAAGCAACATATGCATAAAATTTAGAGGAAAAATAACAAACCAACAACTAAACAAGTACCTCAGCAGCTGCAGCAGCATCAATGGCATTGACGAACTCTACAGCCATATCTTGAACTTGTCACACAGCAGTTCAGTTGTGTCCTGAAATTCCAACTTTAGTAATCTGATTAGATTTCCTCTTCTTCCAACTTCCTCTTCGCCTTAAGCTACTGATTAGGAAATGATCCAAAGGCAAAAGACAATGTCATTGTTGTGAAATGAAGGGGAAAGTTAACAGAAGTCGATTTAGGCATCTACATAATGATCATGTAACAAGAGTGACAAGAGAATTAATTACACAAATACCACAAGAAATTAAAAATGAAAAGAGAAAGCTTGCTTTGATCAGTCTCATCAGTCCACGCAGGTTTCAATTGTAGAGCGCATCGAGCAAGTAATGCGGCTGAAATATTACAAAATATTGAACCCAAAACGAGAAAAACACTCACCACTACAACTCTGCGCATGTAGTTATGTGGTTTCTGTCATTCTCTCCTGCGAGAAGGCTTCTAACTGTTCAGCCAGTTGAAAGGCAAGAAGCGTTCAAGCTTCCTACTTTTCTGGTCAAGAAATTGTTGAATCTTCCTCGGGTGACAGAAGCTTAGAAAAAGTGGAGAATCAGAGGAAGCAATTGTTGAAAACTGTAGGTAAAACATTTTCTTTTTGGCCGGTTGTAGGTACGGGAAAGACAGGAAGGGAATGAAAGAGGAAGAGGACCAAAGTGCTCTCCTGAGGAAACAGCCGCTTGAGTCATCCACCATGAGAAGTTGAAAACAAATTAAGCCGTCAAATTTTGTGTGTTTTCCAGAATTGACGAATTAATTTTTTTAGCGGACTATTTGGACCACTGCCGCAGAAGCTTCTTCTTCTTCTTGTTTTTTTTTGTTTTTTAAAGGTCTGTATATTTTGTATATAAACAGTCTAATAACTAAAAAAATAATCTAATTACTGAAACGTTTTATGACAAATAACCAAATTGTAATGACATGTTCTTATATCAAAGATGACAATAGCCACATACTACTTATTTGTTATAAAACTTTTAATGGCTTATGTCAAACTATATAGCAATTTTTTTTACTTCTCAAGATGCTATGAACATTGGGTTAAGGGTCAAAAATAGCTATGAACTTTTACCAAAAGTTCACTCATCACCATGAACTTTTTTTGGGTTCAAATCTACCCATCAAAGTTTAAAAAGAGGTCAATAATACCAATACCGTTAACATCCGTTTTTTAAGTCATGGGACCCATGATTTTTTTAATGAAATTATCAAAATACCCCCGTTCAAAACAAAAAAAGTTAACGGTAAAAAATACTCATGAACTTTTTTCAATGTATTTAAATCTGAATCAAGATATTATTTAAATCTCATTAATTAAATATATTCGGATCCTACAATTTCATATCCGACCCATTTTTGAAAGTATCAGGTTTTACAAGTTTTCAAGAATATAATTGAATGAATTGATGGTGATGATTGATTAATTATGATACCCCCTATTTAAATTAATATATTCAAATTTCAATTAAGATATTATTCAAATTCAAAGTTAATTATTAATTTTTTTATTTGAATCTTTATTTGAAATTGCATTTATTTATAATGTTTCCTATTTAATTTAATATATTCAAATCTCAATCAAGATATTTTTTAAATCTCATCAATTGAATATATTTGGATCCTACAATTTCACATCCGACCCATTTTCAAACGTATAGGGTATGACAAGTTTTCAAGAATATAATTGATGATTGATTGATGATTGATGATTACTCCAAGAGGCCTTATTAAGAATTTTTGAATATTATTAAAAGACTAAAATACCCTTTAAGTTAGCAAATTAGTGATTACTCCAATCAATTTATGACCTAGCTTTTTTTTCTTGAGATGCACTGCCGCTAAATATTGATCCATCAGTTTCAAGTTTCCTTGCTTGAGTGTTGAATCATCTGCGGGTTCTCAAGTTTTCGATGGACTTCCAATAAATCAAGAGGTATGTATTCGCAATTTTTCATTATTTGAAACCCCAAAATTTCCAATTTTTCAATGTCTATTGTGATCCGGATCAAAGTGGCTTCTTATCTTCTAGACATATTATTGAAATTATCTCTTGCTTTGTTTGTCTAAGCGCGTGCTTCTCTGATATAGTAACATCTATTCTACGTGAAAGAAGAAACAAGTGACACTTCCTTTACCCTATGCCGTTGGTTATGTTTACCAGAGGTGATTATCTTTAGTTGCTAATTTGTCCTGTTCACAAGTTATTTAGGGTAGTCGAAACTGAGGACTTGCACATATCTTGTTTAGAATGGGATTCTGTTGGACTTTATACGATTTCTTTTTTATTCTTTTAATTTTGATTCACATATTTTAATAATTTATTGTAATTTTTTATTCTTTCAACTAGGCGGCATTTAGCATTAATTGTACTATTTAAGAGTTATGAACAATATGATTATATGTAAATTGTATATTTAAAACATTCCAATTAAATGCACCTAAAATACTAATTACATTAATTTGTTTGTTGTAGATTGGCATAAAAAGTGGCATCTACTTCAGCATCAACATCTGCAAAACAACTACTTTGTTTTTTTCATATAGGTGGGCAATTTGTGAAAAATAGCGAAGGTCAAATTCAATATACTGGGGGGAGTGTAAGATTGAAAACCATAAGAGAAGGGATGACACTTCAAGAAATGAAAGTAACGATATCATCATGGATTGGCATTGCTAGTAATCATAGCGAGATGAAATACACTGTGGCTTGTGATGAGAGGACCTTAATAGGTCTTGTTGATGATGCGGAACTTGCAAACCTATTTCAATATAATGAGAAAAGTGGGCATGTGTATATAGCATGCAAAGGAAATGACAATTTATAAGAAACAATTGATGAGCCACAAGTGTAAGCAACTTGTTTTTTTTTTAATAGTTATTATTTAATAGTATTGTTGTTAATATAAAACATGAGTTTTGATTGGGTTATGCAGCATTGAGGAATTGTTGGGGCACCCAGAACAAAGCTCTCTCTCTCTCTCGAAATTGTTGCAATAATCAATTTGGATCCATGTCTTGTCAAGCTGGCAATGTTGCATGTCCAACTAATGAAGCTTGTGGAGGACTTAGTAGCCTATATTGTGGAGTACAAAGTGCACCCACACCTATGCCGGAATTGAACTCTCTAAAATGGAAAGGATTGTTGTCAGGAGAATTGCAAAACTTTGCAAATGCTAACGATTTTAAGCAGAAACTCTACAAGTACAGTCTTGCTCACAACTTTGAGCATAAATTTTTGAAAAATAGCAAGGATAGGATGTCTGTGAAATGTAAAATTGGAGGATGTCCTTGGAAGATAACAGCAAATGCAGTGGGAAAGAGAACTCCTTTCTTATGTGTGACACAATTTCAAAATGAACATATTCATAATGTCCAAGACAATCTTTAAGTGATACATGCTCAAAGTGCTAGTCTAACATCATCTATTATAATTGAGGAAGTAAGGTCTCACATAAACAAACATCCTAATGAAATTATGAAGACACTGAAAAAAGATTATGGTGTGAATCTCACGTATAAATAGGCGTATGCTGCTAAGAAAAAAGCAATTAAGGATGTTCAGGGTAGACCAGAGCAGTCTTACAACTGAAGGAAACCGATCCAAAAATAGTAGCTGAATGGGTAGCTTCTCATAATAACATTTTTGAGTGTGTCTTCGTAGCATATGAGTGTTTTATAAATGGATTCTTAATTGGGGCAAGACATATATTGTATATTGACGGAACTCATTTAAGTGGCCCATATAAGGGTACCTTGCTATTAGCCTCTGCATATGATGCAGATAATAAACTGTTGCCATTTGCAATTGGTATTGCGAAGGTGGAGACATATGAGGACTAGACATGGTTTTTGGTTATGATTAAACAGATAATAGGGTCAATTGAGTTGACAATTGTTTCAAACTGTCACAATGCTATAATAGGAGTTGTGCGGGAAATATTCGATGGTGAGCATCATGTATTTTGCTATCGGCATGTGAAAGAAAACTTTAGTACACAATTGATGAAATTAAAGAGGTAAGAAAAGGACAGGTGCCCAGAGTAAAGATGATGCATTAAAGTTGCTTGATGACATTGCATATGTAAGGCTTGAGAATGAGTTCAATGATGCTATGGAAAATATGAGAAATTTCTTTTCAGAGTTATTTCAATGGCTTGAGAATCATGGGGATGTTGATAGGTGGGCTTTAAGCAAGTTTCCATTTAAACAATGAGATAATATAACAACAAATCTTGCTGAGTCATTCAATGCATGGATGGTAAAGGAGAGGAAGCATAATGTTGCCCAATTGATCTATGAGCATTGAGAGAAGGTAGCAAAAAAAATGTTTGCATCAAGTATGGCAATGAGAAAGTGGAAAAATGTTGTTGGTCCAAATATAGAGTTGAAAGTGAGAGAAAGTGTGGCCAAAGCTGAACAAATGTTAGCTAAACATTATCGAGATATGATTTGTGTTCATACAGCTTATGGAGACTTACGGGTTGATCTTCGCATACATCAGTGTAATTATGCAGTATGGCAGATGTCTAGAATTCCATGTCCACATGCTTGTGCAGCAATTAAACTCGTACATGGTAATGTGTATGATTATGTTGAAAACTGCTATAAGATTACATCACAAGAGAAGATTTATAGCATAAGCATGATACTCGTTATAACAATTGACATGCTAAACCCAAATAACTTGAGGATGGAAAATATATTGGGATAAGTCTTCCTCTAACCACCTCAAACCAGTCGACCTCCTAGAAGGCCAAGAACTAAAAGACGTGAATCACAATTTCAAAATACAAAAACATACCATTGTTCAAGATGTCATCAAGCAAGTCACACAATAAAGACTTGTAAAAATCCAAATCCTTGTTGAGATCAGTTTGACAAATGATTGAATATTTTTGTTTACATAATACAAGTTCTATTGATGACTAGTATGAATTTCTTCATATAAATTTATATTGAGTAGTTTATATTATTCCATCGATCCCATCATATGTTGAAAAATTTATTTTAGAATACTAATATAAGTTCATATTAATTATTAGTATAAATTTTAGTAACAAAATTAATAAGATATAAGGTAATGAGAATGTCCATATATCAGATATAGCAAAGTATTTAGAAAGAAATGATAGATTTGATGCCAAAATCTATCGACACATTAAGATTCTGATTTTTTCAATTATAAGAAAAAAATTCTCCTTCAAAAAATTATTAATTTAATGGTGTTGGAATCAAGTAATTAAAAGGCCCCTCTTTTCATAAATTTCTTGTCAATATATTGGAATTTGCAAAGAATATTGTATTATGCATTGTCAATTTTTTGCTCTTAGTTTTTTCAAATTTTCTCTTGCAAAACAATTTTTATAAATAAATATATATAATGTCAAGTTTTTATGGTTTAATTTTTTTGTTTTTAAAATAATATTATTTTAAATTATAAAAAGAGTATCTTAGTCTTTTAATAACATTCAAAAATTCCTAATAAGGCCTCTTGACCTTATTAGGAGTTTGTTTAAAGTGTAGGCCTTAATTTGGATTTAGATATATAAACAGTCTAATAACTAAAAAAAAAAATCTAATTACTAAAAAGTTTTATGACAAATAACCAAGTTGTAATGACATCTTCTTATATAAAAAATGACAACAGCCATATACTACTTATTTGTTATAAAACTTTTAATGGCTTATATCAAACTATATAGCAATTTTTTTATTTCTCAGATGCTATTTTTTTGGTTCTAACATAATGTTATCTAGCTATTCCTAAGAAGATATAATCACCTAAACCTGTAAAAAAAATTTAAAAAAAATATTATGAAATGTCCCAAAAATATTTTATATTATTGATAATAATATATAATCAAAATTTAACATATATAGATAATGTTAGGTTTGTAAGTATTTTACGAGAAAAAGACCCAAAAAAAATGACACTTAAATATTGAAATCCCTTCTAACCACCTAAATAATGAAAATTTTCCTTTGAGCGCATATGACTAAAGTGAGATTTTGAAGTTTGCTAAAAAGATCAAATTGTCTTTTATTTTTTTTTGAAAAACTATCAAGCACCTGCTCCAATAACCACGGCAGCTGCTAAAGTTCAAGTGGGCTGCTGATTTTCAAAGCTCCGGCAGCCAACTGACAACTGAGCAAGTACTTTTTTAAAGATTCTTTCAAGTCTAGTAATGCAATTAACAAATTTTTTTAAAGCTATTAGCAATTTTGGCATAACAGGTAATAATAGGTTTTTCAAGGAATTTAAAAGGTAATATTTTTACAATTTCAGTAACATAATTAACAAGTCATATAATTATATTAACAAGTCATGTAATAATATTAACAACTCTCATAATTATAGTGATTGCCTAATAAATGAGAAAATTTTGTTGTACAACCTTCATAGAGAGCTAATATTAAAAATATCGACTTTTTTTTTTGGTTAATGATGATACAAGAGTTGTTAAAATTGTTACACAACTTGTTTATTGCATTACTAAGTTATAAAAATGTCACTTTTTTAATTTCCTAAAAACATATTGTTTATTGCTACTCTTCTAGTCCTATTTATAAGTCATTTTCAATATGTTTCACACGGACCAAGAAAAACTTTAAACTTCGTTTAACTCTCATTTAAAATTGGAAAAACCATATCATAGGTACCTCTACTTTCTCTCAATTTTTAATTTGGTACCTATGTGTTTTTTCCTCTTAATTAAACATTTAATTTTATTTTTTTAGCAACATTAGCTCTTATAACTTTGTTCTATTGGCATTTTTAGTCTCTATATAAGGATTAATGATGTTAATTGAGCAAAATTAAAGATTTAGTTAAGAACAAAAAACACAGGTACCAAATTGAAAATTTACAAAAAATACAGGTACCTCCAATATGGTTTTCCCTTTAAAATTTAACAACTTTATAATTTTATCCCTATTTAATACACACCATATCTCATGCAAACAAAGTCAATATAATAATAAATGAAAAGTAAAATTGTACATCTGTATAAAAAATTTCTCTCAATGCCCTATAAATAGGATCAAAAATTGGCTTCTCTCTCTGCCATATAATAAGATCAGAGGAGTATACTGAACTTGGTCATAGTATTAAATAACTTATTAACTACGTTACAAGACTTGAAAATTTTCCTATTTATGATGTCATGACTAATCTTTCAAAGTATATAAAGCTTTCAGATCACATGAATAATAGTATTATAAGAGTTGTTAATACAATTACATAACTTATTAACTGCGTTATTGAAATTGTAAAAATATCACTTTTTTAATTTTCTACAAAATATGTTATTAATCGTTATACCAAACTTGTTAATAGTTTTAAAGAATTTGTTATCTATATTACTGGACTTGAAAAATTTTCCCCAAAAACAAAAGTTTCTGGTCACCAGAGCTTAGGCGATTAGTCATCAGCCCACAACCCACGACTCACTTGAACTTTGATGGCTACTGCTAGCATCGGAGTTCCAGTGGCCACTGCCAGCACTGGAGTTCGGGTGACCAATTGGCCGATGAGAGTGTTTGATAGTTTTTTTTTTTTAAAAAAAAGAGCGATTTAGTCTTTTTAGCAAAGTTTAAAATTCCAATTTGGTGTGCTCAAAGGGGCATTTCGGATTTCAATATTCAAGTGTGATTTTTCTGTTTTTTCCGCTTATTTTAATCTTACAGAATTGTAAAAATGGCAAAAAAAATTATTAAAAAGATTATTTTCTTTTCTTGAAATAACACTTCCTAATCTTTAATTTTATAATTTATGTTTTTTTATTATTACAAAGGTCCCATAAACAAGCATGTCTTAGTTAGAAAAACATATATACATGTAAATAAAAACTCATACCTTTAGAAAATATAGCAAAGCCTACTTGAACTGTAGCACATAGTAATGTTTTAAGGAGCGCGGTGGCTAATTCTGACTGACACTCTCTCTTCAACCTTTTTCTTTGGCCCTTTGTCCCTCATCAATGATGAAGCCTTTGGATCTGTTGCTGTGCCAGTTATTTTTAACACATTTACTTACATATTTTTTTTAATTTACCATCAAAATTATGATTTTAATTGTTTCTAACACACAATCAAATTCGATCTATATATATATATATATATATATATCATATCATTATGTACATCTGGGAAAGAATAGGAGTTTGTTCTACAATGAAGATTTGGATTGCATATTGATAATAGGATGCAACAATGGCGAGCTGACTTGCTCTCACAGCCTGGGAGACTTTCATTGATTAAGTATGAAAAGTGCAGATTTCTTTTGGGGTTTTAGCAACGGGAGAATGCATCTCTTAGCGTGGGACAAAATAAATTTGTTCTTCAAAGAGTTAGGGTGGCTTAGGGCTTTGGAAAACAAAGGATTTTAATAAAGCCTTGTTGGTAAAAAAATATTAGGCAATTTCTTACACCATCAAAAAATTCCTAGCTAAAGTTGGTTTTGGCCCCAAAATATTCATCTTTCTATGAAATGATTCTAAACAATCTTCTATGGATCGTTACCTCAAACAACTTGACGGACTCCTTTTTCCATTTTTCATTCAAGGGATAAGCTTTATTGCAAACCCTTTGGTGATGCTATTTTTAATTTCTCAATCTTTTGGAGGAAAATTCATCAACTAAATCTTATTCCTTGAGTTCATCAACTTTTCATATGAAAGTTGATTTGGAATGCTTTACCAGCTAGATTCACTTCGAAGCAACATCACTTGGATATTGACTTGGGCTGCCTCTTTTGGTCAATCTGGTCCTTGGACTTTGTATCTCATCTGGGTTTTCAGGAAATCCGCAAACTTTATCATTAGGAGGACGTTGAGACGGGCTACTATACACACACCCATACATATATCTCAATACGCTGAAGACTTGATGAGTAATCCAAACAAATTGATTTCTTTTTATTTGACAATCAGTCCAGTTTGTAGGAGGCAAAAAGAAAAACTTAAACAAACACAAAAATGTTTGACGATTTGTGGTATAAAATCTTACCAAAGCCAATTAAATGGCCACATGGAATCATGACATGCATATATATACATATATATACACACACACACATATATCCATCAAAATGCATTTTCAATATAAAATATCATGAAAATGATATGCTTAAAACTTAGCTTGAAACAATAAGAATAAAATTACATTCCATCCTATCACTTGAAAATCAAATGATGATCATCGTCCATCTGCAATTTCAGTTGCAATCTCCTTCAATATGCTATCATAACAAGCTAAAGTACCATCACCAACTGCCCTATCTACAACAGGTATATGACAAAGTAAGCGTTCACCTTCTTCTGACATAAGATCCTCAGCCCTCATCACCCAATGACGTTTGTCCATTGCAATTAGATCCTCTAGTTTCTTTGCTACTTCTTTCATAGTGGGTCTTTCCTCTCCTTTCACTCTAACACACCTCATTGCCAATAAAGCTACTTCCTTCAATTGCTTGGCATTCTTTGGGTCGTCCGATACTCGTTTGTCGAGAATTTCCCAAAAACGATTTTCTCTCATTGAAGATACAAAATGCATTGCCAAATTTTTATGTTCTGGCCAACTAAATTCAACTGCTTTCATTCCTGTAAGTAGCTCCACAAGTACAACTCCAAAACTGTAAATGTCACTCTTTTCATTTAACTGACCTATGTGAAGATACTCCGGATCCAAGTATCCAAAAGTTCCTTGTATCATGGTAGTAACATGAGTTTTATCTAGAGGAACAAGTCTTGAAGCTCCAAAGTCAGATACTTTTGCTCTCAAATCATGATCTAAGAGTATGTTGGTAGATTTAATATCTCGATGAATAATTGGAATGGAAGCAGATGAGTGTAAATAAGAAATAGCGTCAGCAGTTTCTGCAGCTATCCTTATTCTAGTCTCCCAATTAATACAAAACTCATGTGATGGATCTATGTGGTCAAGAAGGGTGCCATTGTCCACAAACTCATATACTAACAATGGGACATCGGTTTCGAGACAACATCCCAAAAGTTTGACAACATTTCGATGCTTGATTTGAGAAAGAACAAACACTTCATTGATAAAATCTTTAATTTGTCTGAGATTTCCTGCTACTTTAGATTTCTTACTGGCAGCAATAGAGTCGTCTGGTAATATGCCTTTATAAACTATGCCTTGGCCCCCACGACCAAGGATTCGACATTCATCAAAATTGTTTGTGGCATTCTTAAGCTCAATTTCCGTAAATAGTTTGAATTTGTCACCATACCCTTGATGTTGTGAAAGTTGTTGTAGCAACATGTATCCTCCATTCTGCTCAAAATTTCTTCTCTTCAGCTGTTTTAGAGTTCTTTGCTTGCGTGCCCAACATAATGTGAATATTAGTGTAATGACAACCAACAAGGCTCCGCTAATGCCTACAAGCCATGTAGTCCAAGCATACATGATTTTGAATAGGAGAAAAGGTTTTTGAATTTTGATGAACAAGGAAAAAATATCCCTTTGTGTTAAGAAAAATTAAAAACTATTTCATGATGATAATTTTTATTTTTTAAACTGATTCAAAAAAATGGGAAAAAAAAAACATAGTTCTTCATATCCTCACCTAATGCAATTATGTGAAGACGCAATTTTTTATCAGACCGAGGAGGGTCCAAACTGCATCCTGTTCCATTAGTGTAGCCGTCGCCTTTATATCCAGACGGACAAGAACAGTGGTAGCTACCCTCAGTATTGCGACATTCCTCTGGCATACTACAGTTATTAGATCTGCTACACTCATCAACATCTAAAATAAAAAATAGGGTATTAGTATATAGTATATATTAATAATTAATATTATTTTTTTCCCTTAATGTAAGATGACTAATTTGAAAAAAATTAAGGAAGTTATTAAATTACTTTAAACTATTTATATTTATTGTTTTTCTTCCAACTAATTTGTCTTACTTATAAATTGATATACAATTTAATAATCTATACAAATATTTTAAAAAGATCATGTAACATGTGATATAATTAAGTAATTTAGTAACTTTTTTAACCTTCTCAAATTAGTCAACTAGGGCGAGGTAGTAAATGATAAATATTACTACCTCTAGTCCTTAATATAAGAGCTAATTTGGCTTTTAATTTGATTTTAAATATAAGACCTTAATCTATTTTATCTCTCATATTTATTTACTTTTTTCAAGGTAGTTATCATAGTAGTTGTACATGTTAAATGTTTTATTAAATAATACTTGATTAGCAAGGATATTTTATAAAAGACAACACATATTTATTACAAATAATTAACTTTAGTAAATCTACTCAAATTAGTCAACTAATTCTTATATTAAGAACTAGAAGTAGTATAAAGAAAAAAATTTAGGTCAAGTTCTTTATATCCATTATGTCAAGCTCTCTAATCATACATGACCATGTGTCTTTTCCTTTTTGTTTCATATGAATTTAAAATTAACTGCTATTAAATTCTAATATTTCAAAAGCAGGACATATGGTTATGGTTGATTAGAGAAATTGGACAAAATTGATATAAGTAAGTTGATTTAAATATTTGTATAAAAAAAACTTGATTTAAATATTATCCAATATCATATTATTCCTATGAAAAGATGTATAAGTTAATTAATAGAATTCACAATTTTCAACAAGAGCCCCAAACAATCTAGTTCATTTGAAGTGTACTAGGCATACCTATCCAGTTCATTTGGTAACACCTATCTATGAATTAAAGGAAAGAAATTAACAGGATTTTAAAGTTACCGTGACATCCATCCGGGTGGTATGGATTTCCCTCAAACCCAGATTTACATTTGCACGTGTACCCAGTTCCATCACTGGAATCCACACAATCTGTGTTGGATTTGCAAGCATATTCTTCTTCATTACTGGAAGCAGTTTGACAAGAAACATTCGAAACAGTCCAATCCACGACAAGTGGGACCCTATCCAAGGGAAATTTTTGCAGATAATCGAGGGAGAAACTAAACCAATCACTTTTGGCAACAAAAGCAGCACTACAATTATTGAAGGTCCAAACTTTGGTATGGTTGTCGACAGTAGCTCCATAAAAGCTGATATTATTCATTCCTGTCGGAATATCCACCTGACAACACCCAGTTCCTGAACAAGTCTGATCAATCATCCCTTTTGGAGGAGGTTTGTCACATAGCGCCACACAGCCACTGTAATAAGTGAAGTTCTTGCGGAAGATAAGTACGCCCAAAGCATCGCATCCGATGGTTAGAAACTTGTTTTGGGTGCTGGAAATGGTGAAGCCTTTGGTGTAAATATTATGGATCGTGCCTGTTCGATTGCAACAACCCCTAGAGAGCAGCGTTGAAATGTCCATTTGATTTCGTTGGAGGGATATGTTGGAAACTGGGTAATTCTCAAAATATAATGTGGATGTTGTGTTGTCACAAGTGAGATTAAATGATTGATCCAAGAAACAGTTGCGAGAAGTACCAGGTTGTACCCCAACACCAAATGGATATGGAATGTCCACGTCACGGCATTTGTCGGGACAGCCTGCAAGGGATTGAGCTTCAGCTGCGGCCCAGGCCGCTGCTAATAGGATATTGAAGAACAGAAGCTTCATCATCATCATCGTCACTTTTTCTGGGGAAAAAAGAAGTGAAAGAAAAGGAAAGGAAATGGAATGAGTTAGTGGTGGTAGCTGAATTGAATAGCTTTCTATAGGCAAACATATGAAGGTCTGAATTAATGGTTCTTTTTAATTGGTAGTAGATTAGATTATTTATGGATAGAGACAAGATTAATGCCGAGTACATGTATCCAAATTAGATAATGACTTGAATGGAAATACAACAAAAGTCGAACTAGACGAATGTATAATATATCATGTTCAAGCGACACAAAGGTTGTTTATTCTTGTGGAAGGATTGGAATGGATGACCAATTCTGCATTATTGACATTGAGAACAATACAAGAAGTTTCTTCTGCGAGATGCAACAGATTTGATTAATGCGCAGATATATAGAAATTTATTTTATTTCTTTCATTTTTTAACCTTTAGGGGTCCTTAAAAGCTGGAGAAGGATCATGACGATTCTGTCTTGTTCATATTGATGAGGCAGTTTTTCTACAGTGAGTTTCTAAATAATGGCCAAAATGAAACCCACACCTATCATTATTGAGATGTCTTAATTTATTTGATCAATCAAAGATGGGCCATTTTCTATTTATGTGACAATAAACGGGATAATTACATATAGGTTTCAAATAAAAAAATTAATCATACCCATGTTGAGTTAAATGTACATATAGAAGTTTAACGTACAGCAGGTAGATGGAATTGGAAAAAAATATTTTTTTTATTTGGAATCCTTTTGTAATTCATTCAAAATAAATTGAAAATCAAAAGTAAAGAAGGGGCAAACAAATCTTCAGACTTCATATTCATATTAATATATTGATCAACATCAAATTAATAGAAGTAGCACGAGTTTGTGTGCGTAAGCATATGTACAGTGTTAGATTCCGTTGGCAATTATATGAGAACCTTTTAACAACTAAATGACAAATATTAAGATAGACAGTTATTTTTAGTTAACAGTAATTCTAGCACACAAAAAAACGAAGTTAACAGTAATAAATTTATTAAAAAAAATTGATACCATTTTACCCCCAAAAAAACTCTTTAACATGGAAACACTTTCATTAAGTAATTGAGTAACTTCTGTTCATATTATAGGAGCATATTTGCCAAAAAAAATGGTAAATGTGGTTCAAGAAAGGGTTTTACATTTAAAAACAGCCTAAAGTCATACAAATATTTTTATAATTAGAAACGGAAGGGGTAATAATTAATTAAGTCAGTGATTGCAACGTTGGGTGATGAATGAAGCAACAATGAGGTTGGATAAGATTATTTTTTTAAAATCTTCGTCCAGGTTTGAATTTTAGTTATTGTCTTCCACGTTTTGACCCATCTTAACTTGGGTTATTTCTAGGTGATCACATTCATTAATTAGTGCCCTTTGTTTCATTTCCTGAATATGGGCCTTTTCTATTTACATAAAAATATATTCAAATAAATCAAAGGTGAAGAACGGACAAAAAGCCTTCAAAATTCATATTCACCATATTAGTAATTAGTAATATTAGTATAATATATATATATATATATATATATATATATACCCCATGCGGTCAATAATATATGTTGATTAACTTTCTTACTTTAGTCATTAAATGTGTTCTAAAATAAGAAAGTTTTCTTATTTTACCCCTAAAAGAATGATAAAAGTGCCTTTAATGTTACTACTCCGTCCTTTATTATAAGATCCTTTTAACTAAATTTCACGATTTAAGAAAATAGTTAAAATTAGTTAAAAACAATTAATATACAGCAAATACAATTTTTTTTAAATATACCCCTATATATAAATTGGTAGATGTGAGAGAGTAATAGTGAGATAAATGAAGAAAGAGAATATATTAAATACATTAAACTAGGGGTAAAATAGATAATAATACATTAAATATTCAGACAAACTCAGAAGGGATCTTATAAAAAGGGACAAATTAAATCCATTCAAAAAAATTGGATCTTATAATAAGAGACGGAGGGAGTACACTTTTATTATCTTACATATCTCTTCTCTCTCTCCTATGTTCAATAGGGATCAAAGTCAAAAAATCACATTAATTATCTTGATAATGTTTTATATTTAGGATCACAATTTTTTTTATAAACAATGTATTATATTATGAAACTGAGGAAGTAATTCTCAACATCAGAGTTACTTCCTCCATCCTTTAATATAAAATCCAATTTTTTGAATAGGTTTGTCCCTTGTTATAAGATCTTCTTTGAATTTGTCTAAGTATTTAATGTATTATTACCTATTTTACCCCTAATTTAATACATTTAATACATTCTCTTTCTTCATTTATCTCACTATTACTCTCTCACATTTACCCATTTATATATAGGGATATATTTGGAAAAAATTTATATCTGCTACATATTAATTGTTTTTAACTAATTTTAACTGTTTTCTTAAACTGCACAATTTAGTTAAAATTATCTTATAATAAAGGACGGAATAGTGTGAGAATAGTCTAGGTTTTTGTGCTTACGTATGCGTTATGTGCAATATTACTTCTTCCGTTCCTTATTATAAGAGATGAATAACCGAATTAGGTTGATAAAAAAATAGTTAAATTTAGTTAAGAACAATCAATGTGTAAAAAGTATAATTTTTTTTTTCTAAAAATGCCCTCATTAATAAGGATAGAAAACATGAGAGAGAACAATTAAATTATTAAAAGAAAGAGAAGTGGGAGGGGGAGAGAGTGTGAGTTGGAGACAAAATAAATATGGGTAAAATAGGAAATCAATACAAAAAAGTAGAGACAATTTTTAAGTATCTTTTATATACAGGAACATGCCATAAGCATCAAATGTCTCTTATAATAAGGAACGGAGGGAGTATCAATTAAGAAAGTTGGCGTGATTGCAACGTTTGGTGATGAACGAATCTTAGTCAAGGCTTGAATTTTAGTTATTGTCATCCATGGTTGACCCATCTTAATTTATTACTTGGGTTATTTCCAGGCGAACATATTAATTATATCTGCATCAAAACAGTATAGTTATTGGGTAATCAGTTTCACCATAATCTCATATTCATCAATATCCGTCGTCAACAATAATCAAACGAGAGCACCATTCAATTTGATACATATTAAACCAAACATTGCGTAAATCTCACTAGTTCTTTTTAACGGATATATCTCTGTGTGTGTGTGTGTGTGTGAGAGAGAGAGAGAGAGAGAGAGAGAGAGAGAGAGGTTACTTAAGAGCTAAAAGCCTACAAATTTTGGGATCTCAAGTCCTTTCATCCATGCTATTATAAAACTCAACTTGAGTAGGCCGGTCAAACTAATGAACGGTTTTATAACTTTGTTTTCTTAACTTACTTATGATTTACGTATATACATATGTATATAGATATATCTACATATATATAAGTGTTATATTTATTTGTCAATTAACGACTTCCTTATTTAAATATTACTCTTTTCAGGATTAAATATGAGTATTTTTATATATTTTAATTATGATTGAGTTGGCCTTGATTCAACCACAATTGTATTGCATTAATTCTTAAATTATTGTCTCAGTTAGTTCAATGATTGATTTTGTTTTCAGTATTTATTACTGCCACGTCATACAAAAGTAACACATTCATAGCAATAGAAAGATTATTTCAATTATAAGAACATGTATGACCACCGTAAATTAGACTAATTAGGTAGTCAATTAAGTTACACAATTAATTAGTTAGCACTTAGCACAAGTTGTAAATTAACTAGATTTTTTCCCTTTTCCCTCCTAAGCTCTATGTATAAAAGGGCATCACGTAATGGCCAAAATATATATATATATATATATATATAGGGCATCACGTGAATGAAGTACTATTATTATCTTTAATTTGTTGATAATCAATCAAGTTTGCAAGGGTATAAAAGAAAAACAACTCTAAAAATTAATGCTTGAAAATCCATGATTTACAATTTTGTACTGAAAGCCTACATCAAAATCTATGCATCTTCAATATATATATATATATATATATATATATATATATATTGTCTGAAAAGGATATGGATGAACTATGAAACCAAAAGGACAGAATCACAACCCATCATTTGAATACCAAAGGGTTATCGTCCATCTGCAATTTCAGATGAAATTTCCTTCAACATGCTATCATATGAAGCAAAAGTGCTGGTACCAATTGCCCTATAATTATCAGATACATGACCAACTAAGTACTGGCGTTCTTCTGACACAACATCTTCATGATTCACCCAAGGATGTTTTTCCATTGCAATTAGACCCTCTAGTTCCTTTGCTACTTCCTTCATAGTTGGCCTTTCCTCTCCTTTCACTCTAACACACCTCCTTGCCAGCAAGGCTACTTCCTTTAGCTGCTCATCATTCTTTTGGTCTAACAGTCGTCTGTCAAGAATCTCCCACAAACGGTTTTCTCTCATTGCAAACACAAAATACATTACCAAATTTTTCTCTTCTGACCATCTAAATTCAGCTGCTTTATTTCCTGTGAGCAATTCCACAAGCACAACCCCAAAACTATAAACATCGCTTTTGTCATTCAGCTGACCTATGTGGAGGTACTCTGGATCCAAGTATCCAAAAGTCCCTTGTATCATCGTGGTGACATGAGTTTCATTAAGAGGAATAAGTCTTGACGCTCCAAAGTCAGCCACTTTTGCTTTTAGATTATGATCTAAAAGTATGTTGGTGGATTTAATATCCCGATGAATAATTGGAATGGAAGCAGAAGAGTGCAAATATGAAATAGCTCCAGCAGTTTCTGCAGCTATCCTTAATCGAACTTCCCAAGGAATAGAAAACTCATTTTTCAAAGGATCTAGGTGGTCAAGAAGCGTGCCATTGTCCACAAACTCGTATACTAACAAAGGGATGTCAGTTTCAAGACAACATCCCAAAAGTTTGACAACATTTCGGTGGTTGATTTGGGAAAGCAAAAACACTTCATTAATAAAATCCTTGATCTGTCTAGGAGTCCCTCCTACTTTAGACTTCTTAATGGCAACAATTTTATTGTCTGGTAATATACCTTTATACACCGTGCCTTGACCCCCGCGACCCAGAATTCTAGACTCATCAAAGTTGTTTGTGGCGTTCTTAAGCTCAACTTCTGTAAATATTTCGGTTTTCTCAGTGTATCCTTGATGTTGTGAAAGTTGTTGTAACAGCATGTATCCTCCATTTTGCACAAAATTTTTCTGTCTAAGTTGTTTCAGAGTTCTTCGCTTGTGTGCCCAACATACTGTTGAAATCAGTGCAATGACAGCCAACAAGGCTACACTAATGCCTGCAAGCAAAGGTAGTCCATCATATGATTTTGAGTGGGAAAAAGGTTTTGCTTTGAATATGGGAAGAAAGTTATAATATTTTCCAACGGGATGGAGCTCAAATTAACCGATTGAGAGTTATGAGAGTTTCTATTTTAAAATCTTTTTCCAAAAATTTAGAACAAAATAGAGTTCATATAATTCTCACCTAATGCAATTATAAGAATAAGCAATTGATGATTAGATCGAGGAGTATCCAAAGTGCAGCCTGTTCCGTTAGTATAGCCGTCGCCTTTGTATCCAGGTGGACAAGAACAACGATAGGTGCCATCAAAATTGTGGCATTGCCTTGACATACTGCAGTTGTTGGGTCTGCTACATTCATCAACATCTAAAATAATCATGAAAATGCTATTATAAATAATAATTACTCCTCCGATCCTTAATATAAGACCTATTTAGCTAATTTGATTAGATTGAGGAAGTTAGGTAAGTTAGTTAATTATTAAAAATATGACATGTTTTTTCTAGAACACCATAATCATCTTCCTTAATATCCTCCTTCCCTCTTCTACTTGATTATTGTTGATGGAGTATCCATAGGGATAATTTAGAAAAAATTGATAAATATGAGAAATAGGTCTTATATTTAGAACCAAATCAACTTAACAATTAGGTCCTATCTTAAGGACTGGAGGAGTAATAAACATTCCTTTCCTTCCAAATTACGAGCCAATATTCTTATATATGCCAAGATAATTTACAAAATCTAAAATTTAAAATATAAAAAAGAACATGAAAAAAATTTAAATTATAAATTAGTGAGAATTGTTTTATTGCTATACCCTAAGTAATTTTGTCTTGTTGAAAGAAACAAAGAATGCGAGTAACTAATCCACTTAGTTCTAATGGAAGGAACTGGTTCTTTACAACCTAATGACCCATTATTTGAATCTTTATTGAAACAGATGTTCACAGTTTAGTGCCAATATCTCGTAAGGAAAAGGAACTAAAAAGAAATAAGGAGTACTATATATACATCCTTACTTAATTGTTGGAAAAGAAAGAAATTACCTTGACATCCATCTGGGTGATATGGATTTCCCTCAAAGCCGGGTTTACATTTGCATTTGTACCCAACCCCATCACTGGAATCCACACAATCTGTGTTGGATTTGCAGGCATAGTCTTCTGCTGTGTTATTACTACTGGAGGCAGCAGTTTGACAAGTACCATTTGAAACAGTCCAATCTAAGACAAGTGGAGCCCTTTCAAAGGGAAATTCGCCTAGATAATCTGGGGAGAAGCTAAACCAACCATTTTTGGAAATAAAAGCAGAGGTACAATTGTTGAAGGCCGATACGTTGGTATGATTTGTGACAGTAGAAGCAAAAAAACTGATATTGTTCATTCCCTTGGGAATATCCACTTGGCAACAACCAGTCCCGGAACAAGTCTTATCATTGATCTCTCTTGAAGGAGGTTTGTCACATAACGCAACACAGCCACTGTAATAAGTGAAGTTTTTTTCGAAACTAATTACGCCCAAAGCGTCGCAACCAACAGTTAGGAACTTGTTCTGGGTGCTGGAAACGGTGAAGGCTTTGGTGTAAAGAGAAAGATCTTTGCCTGATGCGTTAAAACAACCATTGGAAACAGCCATGGAGATTTCCATTTGACTTTGTTGGAGGGATATGTTCGAAACTGGAAAATTCTCGAAGTATAACGTAGACGTGGAGTTGTCACAATTGAGATTAAACGACTGATCAAAGAAACAGTTTCGAGAAGTACCAGGTTGTATCCCCACTCCAAAAGGATATGGAATCTCCACATCTCCACATTTGTTGGGACAACCGGCAAGGGACTGAGCTTCAGATGCAGCTAAAAGACTAACGAGAAAGAGCAGTTCCAGCCCCATCTTCATCATCACTTTCTCGGGAAAAAACGAAAAGAAAATAAAGATAGAATAACACATTATAGGGATGGCTGCTGAATTCTATAGCTTTTGCAGGCAAACACAAAAGCTCTTTAATTTGTAGATTATTTATATACAAACATGATAGATGCCGCGTCCAAGTAATATATATACACTACATGCTGAGATGACTCCAAGGTTATTTTATTGTGGAAGACTTGGAATGGATGACTAATTCAGAGAATCAATACATGAAACTTCCTTCATGATACAACAGATTTGATTAATGCGCACATCGAAACAATTCTTTAATTTGTTTTCCAGCTGGGGATCGGAAGATAAATCATGCATCATGATTCTGTCAGATTTTCTTTTTTGAACATGATTGCCAAAAAGAAAAACTAAAATTTGTCATTAAGATTATTTCACTAAAGTCTTAATTCAATTTTTTTTATAATTTAAACATTTATAAATAATTCTTAATGCACAAAGCTATCCTCATCAGGCACACAAGGGAGCCGGGTCGGACTCCATTCTCCATGGCAGCAATTATGAAACCTCTGTCACACCTATCCTCAGTGATATTTTTTGAGTCTCCTTAATTTTAAGTAGTTTGAAAGACCAAAATGTCCTTCAAAGTAGAACATTTTAAATTATGTAAATTAAATTTTAAATAGCTTAGATAATTAATTTTAAGAACTATAATTATAATTTTGTAAAATAAAAATTAAAAGTATAATAATGAGATGTCCTTTATTTGATTCACTGAAGGTGGGTATTTTCTACTTATATAACAATAAATTTAAAAATGAAAAACTCAAAAAGTCTTCATCAAAATTCATATTCATAGTAATTTATATATTTGTCGGCCTCAAGCTAATAAAAATAGTCTAGGTAAGTGTGTGCGTGTAGGTACAATGTTATAATTGTTATTAAATTAAGAGGAGGTGAAGTCAGTGATTGCAATGTGTGATGATGAACAAAAGCAACAATGAGTCTGGATAAGATTATTAGACTACACACATTTTGAATTTCATATCAAATCTTCGTTGAGGTTTGAATTTTAGTTATATATCCACGTTCTTCCCATCTATTTGGCCAAAACAAGAAGGTATATTAAAACAACTCCGATTAAAGGGCTTGGAAATCCATGATTTACAATGATAACAACTCAAAAACAAGTAAAAACTATGAAACTCAATAAGGGCTGGCATATACACACACATCATTTGAACACAACCAAATGATCATCGTCCATCTGCAATCTCTGATGCAATCTCCTTCATTATGCTATCATAGGAAGCTGAAGTACTAGCCCCTGTTTCCCTATACATATTTGGTACATGTCCAAGTAAATATTCGCTTTCTTCTGACATACTCTCTTCATCACCTTTCATTGCCCAAACATGCTTTTTCATTGCAATCATACCCTCTAGTTCCTTCGCTACTTCCTTCATAGTGGGCCTTTCCTCTCCTTTTACTCTAACACATCTCCTTGCTAATAAGGCTATTTCCTTAAGCTGATTTGCATTCTTTCTATCTAACACTCGCTTATCAAGAATTTCTAGTAGATGGTCTTCTTTCATTGAAGACACAAAATACATGGCTAGATTTTTCTGTTCTGGCCTGCTAAATTCAATGCTTTTTACCCGTGAGCAATTCCACAAGTACAACTCCAAAACTGTAAACATCGCTTTTCTCATTCAATTGACCTATGTGGAGATATTCTGGATCCAAGTATCCAAGAGTCCCTTGTACCACAGTTGTAACATGAGTTTCGTCGAGAGGAATAAGTTTTGAAGCTCCAAAGTCAGACACCTTTGCTCTAAGGTTATGGTCTAAAAGTATGTTGGTAGATTTAATATCCCGATGAATAATTGGGATTGAAGCATATGAGTGCAGATATGAAATAGCCTCAGCAGTTTCTGCAGCTATTCTCAATCGAGTCTCCCATGGAATAGAAAACTCATTCTTCAAAGGATCTATGTGATCAAGGAGGTGCCATTATTTACAAACTCGTATACCAACAAAGGGACATCAGTTTCAAGACAACAACCCAACAATTTGACAATATTTCGATGATTGACTTGAGAGAGCACAAACACTTCATTGATAAAATCCTTAATTTGTCTAGGATTTCCTCCTACTTTGGACTTCTTAATGGCAACAAGTGTATTGTCCGGTAATAAACCCTTATAAACTATGCCTTGCCCCCCACGACCAAGGATTCGACACTCATCAAAGTTGTTTGTGGCATTTTTGAGCTCAACTTCTGCAAATATTTTTGTTTGATTAGAGTACCCTTGATGTTGCGAAAATTGTTCCAGCAATAAGTTTCCTCCATTTTGCACGAAGTTTTTTTGTCTAAGTTGTTTCAAAGTTCTTTGCTTGCGTGCCCAGCATAATGTGGAGACCAATGTAAAGGCAACTAACAGTGCAACACTAATGCCTGCAAAAAATCATCTATTCCAAATATGATTTCATGTACGAAAACGTTTTTAATTTTGACTTAAACATCCCTCATATGTCTAAGAAATTTATGGTGATGAAAAATTCTATTCACAAATTAAAACTAATTCCAAAAAAAAAAAGAAAAAAAGCTATACAGCTATAAACCGAAAAAGCTACAACTCTTCATATTCTTACCTAAGGCAGTTATAAGAACCAGCAAACGACGATTACTATATTCATGTGTGTCCAAAGTGCAGCCTGTTCCATTAATGTAGCCATCGCCTTTATATCCATGTGGACAAGAACATTGGTAAGTACCATCGAAATTGCGACATTGCTTTGGCATGCTACAGTTATTTGATTTGCCACACTCATCAACATCTAGGATCAAGAAAAGAGTATTAGTGGGATTGCTGCAGAATTACCACAGCAATTAATGGAATAATTATAGAATTACCGTGACATCCATCTGGATGATATGGATTTCCCTCAAAGCCGGGCTTGCATATGCAGTTGTACCCAGCTCCAAAAGTGGAATCTACGCAATCTGAGTTGGATTTGCAGGCATAGTCTGCTTTTTCAGAAGCGTTCTGACAGGTATCATTTGAAACAGTCCAATCTAGGACGAGTGGGACTTTATCATAGGGAAAGTACTGCAGATAATCGAGTGAGAAACTAAACCAGTCATGTTTGGCAGCAAAAGCATAGCTGCAGTTGTTGAATGCCGACACGTTGGTATGATTATAAACACTAGATACTCCATAACTGATATTATTGATTCCCTCAGGTATATCCACTTGGCAACACCCAGTTCCTGTACAAGTCTGATCACCCATGTTTTTTGGAGGTCTGTCACATAGTGCCACGCAACCACTGTAATAGGTGAAGTTGTCCCGCAAATGGTTCTGGAACCTTATTATGCCCAAAGCGTCGCAACCAAAAGTAATGAACTTGTTTTGTGTGTTGGAAATGGTGAAGGAATCGGTGAGAATACGGTGAGGGTGTATACTTTCTGGTCCTGATTGATTGAAACAAGCCGTGGAGACAAAGGTTGAGATCTCCATTTGATTTTGTCGGAAGGAGATGTTGGAAACTAAGGCGTTTCCGAAGTATAACGTGGATGTGGAGTTGTCACAAGTGAGATTGAATGATTTGTCTAAGAAACAGTTTCGAGAAGTACCAGGTTGTACCCCTACCCCAAATGGATAAGGAATGTCCACATCTCCGCATTTGTTAGGACAACCTGCAAGGGACTGAGCATCAGCTGCTGCTATTAGAATGATGAAGAACAGAAGCTCAATCTCCATCATCGTCACTTTCTCGAGAAAAGGAAAAGAAAATGGAATGATCACTTACGGGCTGCTAGGTGAACTGCAATAGCTTTTAGAGGCAACCTATATAGGGGTCCTGGGTAATCTGAGATGAAACACAAGGTTTATAATTTAAGAATAATGGGATTTCTCATAGATTATATTTATATGTATTATTGATTATTGATATTGACAGGAAGGGAAAAAAATTCAAATTAGCTAGATAAAAGTAATATATACATCTGTTTAGGTCATATGAATGGCTATATGGTATGGAAGGCGGGGATTGAATATGACCAATTCTGTTCTGCATTCATATTATTGATGTCGGAAACAGATAAGAAAGTTCTTTCTGCATGATGCAACAGAGTTGATTAATTCCAACATACAAACATATGTTTTTTTTTTCCTCCTGAAAGCTAAGGCAGTGGAAGAACGAACACAAACTTGCGTGCCTTGCATGTCTTCCTTCGTAATCAGACTACACGTGGAGTAAGATAACAAGTCAACTTTCTCAAACTAATTTAAATAGAAGACTTGGACTAAATATTTCAGTACATGTATTGTTCAAGAAGAAGAAAGAAGAGAAACACCGGACAAAAATATAGTAATTTAACGATTAGTCTTGATGATTTGGACTAATTTTAATGCAATTTTTAGATTAAAACATACTTTTAGTTTTTTAACTTTGATCCCTGAACTTTTAAAAGTATTTTTAGTTTTTCTTATATCTAGATATGCGAGTGTATGAGGAAGGGAGTTATTTAATTTTTCTTTAGTATCTATCTATATTTTTGTTGAAAGCCAGACATATACGTTGGAATATTAAGATGAAATATAGTTAATTATATCAAACCAAATTGTATTTTCAAATTTTTAATAATCTTAACTACATAAAAAATTTTAATAAACAGTAATTAATGAATTAATTACTAAATTTCAAGTTCTATAGATTAAATTAAAAATGGAATGCTGATGGCAAAAAAAATTAAAAATGGAATGCAATTATATGAACTGAAAGTTTCAAGTTAATATTCCACGTTTTACCCCTGTTTGGAATCATCATAATCGCTTCAAAAAATAATTTTTCATCCAAGTCAAGTCAAAACACCTCATAATTCTTGAATTTTAAGTTATCATATTCTATGCTTTACCCTTTTTTCATAAGAAAAATTGCAACAAAATTCCATCTAAGAGAATTAAATACAAAAATTCCTTAAAATTATCAAATTATTTTGAAGTTCCAAGGGATCTCATTACAAGAGAATTTATTTGTTTAATTACTATATTGCCTTTATTTATTTTTAAGTTTATGTTAGCAATTGAAAGAACAGTCATTAACAATTTAAGGTGTGAAAATAAAAAACTATCAGGACAGGTATTAGCAACTCATATATTACATTTTGTGATGTACTGAGAAAATGTATTGTTAATACCTAGCATGATAGTTATTAATCATTACCCTTTAAGTTGTTAATACATACTTGGGAAAAACTTGGGAAAAAAAATAAGGGTAATTTGATAATTAAACAAATAAAATTTTTTGCAGTGAGATCTTTTAGGACTTAAAAATAATTTGATAATTTTAAAAGACTTTTTCATATTTAATTCCTTTTGATGACCTTATTAAATTTTATTTTCTTATATAACTCAGAACATCCACGATTCCGCAGTTGGGAATCCTCTACTCCATCTTCCCCATTGCTAGGGAGGGATCAAGTAATAGGTGCCAAATCGCAATTTCTTACTAGTTACTAGTAACTAATAATGACTTAACATCAGTGCTCAGTGGTTGCCAACCAAAGCACCGTCGCGAAGCGGCAACTGCGTTGAGCCAGTAGTTGTCTGCTAGTGATTGTGTTTGTAGCAGCGGCATTCCCCTGGGACAGGTACTGAACCACCCAAATTTGCTGTTGAATCGATTTGAAAGGGGGGAAACCAGTAGTGATAAGAACCTTAGAGAGTCATCGTGTTGTGCCCATACTGAGGAAGAGGAATTAGATCCAGCTAAATTATCATACTCTACTGAAGTATGATTTGAATATGGTAGACACGATCTATTGGGTGGCCTGGTTTTATTTTCTTCTCTATGTGCAGTGGCATATGTTGCTTCACGGTAGCCTCAGAATATGGGTACAAGCGTATAATTTAGATGTAATGAAAATTAGCAAAAAGATAAACGAAAAGGAAGCTTTGATTTAGATATAACATATAAATCTCTAGAATGCATGAACCAAACTTTGAAATTCTCTTTAACATCACTCTTAACCCAAGCATGCCACTGATTGCCCAGGAAATAGCCTTAGATGGCTGGCTATTGGCTATACAAGACATGTAGAAATTGTCAACATACACTCTCTGTAAGTCTTCATCAAAATTATTTAAGAATTATGCTTTTCATAATGCAAGGGAAAACTCAGTGAAGTCTCTATGGTGGAACTAACCATGTGTCCACGTCCAAGAGCCGGTCTTTTTCATTGGTCAGCCAAATAGCACAAGCCTGCATGTCAATGAAAAAACTATTCTATTATGATTTCCCTTAAAATCGTGAAAAACATGCTGCCCTTGATTTAGATCCAAAGGAGAGTGTGTAAATTAAACCTTCCTTTTGGTCCTTCATCATTCTCCTAAATTTTAGCATTCTCATAGTTACCCAAGAAACAGCCTTAGACGACTAGTTATTGGCTTTCGACATATAGGACAGATGGAAATTGCCGATCCACAGTCTCCACAAGTCTGCAACAAAATCAGTTAATAACCATAACTCTCATGCATGAGGAAAACCAGTGAAATCTTTCTGTCAGAGCTTACCGTGTGCCCACATCCAAAGGCCATATCCCTCTCATTGTTCAGGCAAATCACACAAACCTGCTTGTCAGCATAAATGCATGCTTTTAGTACAGGTCTAGCACTGTATTCCGTTCAAGCCACTTTGTGTAATCATTTTCATTAGAATAAAAAGTATGATTTTTATAAGTAGAATAAATTATTTGAGTCTCCTTAAGGGCTTAAATTCATCAACCTCTACAAATCCTTCCTTCAGAAACATTTGATGCATTAGATGCAAAACATATCTTTCCCGTTAGATATGCTAGATCTCGGGCAGGCCAACAAAGGAAGGTACGCGATGGGGACGAAACAATACTCATGGTGCATAATACAAAGAAAAGTATACCTTATCTTCTGATGATTTGATTTCCTTTTCACAATCAAAGAGTTTTTCCTGAGGGATAGACAAGAACAGCAAGTGATAGTTATTTGTCACATGAACACTTTAAATAAAATAACAGAAGCACCAACAAATACCTCAGCAGCAATAGCTCTAGATTCAGCCACTGCAGCAGCCATAGAAGCATCGGCTAACTGTAGTTCTTTCTCTTCAATTTGTCTCATGGCACTTTGTCTTATCTGTTCACATTCCTGTTTTAGCAATTGTACAAGTTGTTGCTCTTCTTTCAACTCTCTGTTCGTCTTGATCCATTTATCCTAAACATAAGAAAGTTGTTAACTAATAGCCATTTAGGAACTTAGATACATGGCTAAATATATTTAGCATGCACAATGTGTTAGCATGATTTCTTCACATTAATATTATGGTCCATGTGAGATGGAATTTGGTTTTGGATAAATCTCAAGCACACTTCCAACAGTAAATTGTAGCATTACACAAACCCAAATTTCTTGTCTTCTTCTAGTTTAAGCCTTTGACCAAGTTTTTGCTCTTCTCCCAGCCCTCACTTCAGTTTAACACATGCACTCTCTAAGATTGACAGCTAGGACTTCAAAATCAAGGTAAGGGAAATACAGCATTAATCCTATGACATCAAAAAGACTGATACTGGCAAAAAACAAAAAACTGATATTAAAATAGTTCTATTACATTTATAAAAGTTTGTTTGAATTTTTCTGGTGATAAAAGGTTTCATGATAGTCAATGTTATGTTGCCCTTGAAAACAGACCTTCAGTATCTGAATAATTTCTTCCTGTTGTATCCTTTTTGCATCTCTTGCTTTCCCTCTAATCTGCATGTTAATTAGATCAAGTGGGTACGTCACAACCACAACCTTGCCTCTTTGCATGCAGTGACCATTTAAAATAGTTGATAAATTCAACTCCCATGTGATTATATCACCTGTCGTTTATCTGATGCTTTCGTGAAGGTGTCAAGTCCTCTGCTAACAGATTGAACATTGATTGTTAATGTCTTGAAAATCTGAGGGAAAACTTTACTCACGTAGTCAAGTATTGATGTGCATAAGTTAAACATGAAGATTAACAGCAATGGTCATCCTTACTTGGATTTTGATCGCTTTTCCTCAAGATATTTCTCCATTTCGCTGTCAGTTTGCTCATGAGATCCCTACAGTCAAACATATGCAAGTTGAAATAACATTGACTATGTATTTCTTAGTAATTTGAAAGAATCCAACCTGTGACTGAGCAGGCTTGTGTAGAATATTATTCACTTCCTTCCTAAGAGCACTTAGATGATGCAACACTTTTACTGGTGATGGCTTTTCATGGTGAAATATCACTTCCCTCCTGTGTTCGTATATACACCAACAGACACAAGTGATCCATTCTAGGAAAGCTTTAACTTTTCCTGTATAATCCTGCTGTGATCTCACCAATATAGACAGAATCCATAATTGAATTGAAGAAGGTGAAACTTTTTCTACTTTTAACTTGAGAGTGGATCCAAACCAGACAGCTCGGCTTAAGGAACATCTCATGAATATGTGATCTACGTCTTCTTTCACTGGGCAACCAAACGGGCATCTACCATGTGTTTTGGGATAACTTTTTATGTCTTCCTCTCCAACTGATAAGGCATTCATACATAGTGATCTTAAGAATGAAATGAGCGTGGCAGGTAGCTTCAGTTTCCAAATGAACTCCCATTTGATTTCATTTACTTGGGGAGTTTGTTTCCTCACATTTTTCTGTAATATCTCTCTACTTTCAATCAAATGCTCATTGGTGGTTCCTTCTGACATCCAAGCAAAAAGAAGTGATGGCAAGTTCAGATTTGTACCGGGAAGCTTGTTAGAGTTGGTTATCATTGCTAGATATCTACTGTAACGTTTTTTTGGTACTATCCTCAAGTAATGTCATAATCTTTCCCAGTCTTGAGTTTCTTCATTCAAAATTTGTCCTGCTCATTAGCCTGTTTTATCAGACGGACTAGGATCTTTTAGCTAATAGATCTGCTACTAAAAATAAAACTCCTAGATAAAAGAATGAGCCATATTAATTATGCTGAGATGCAAATAGTACATCTCGTTATACATTACCTAGTTGCCATAAATATGACCTGCCTTGGTTTTTTTTTTTTTTTTGGTTCAAGTTATTGAGTATCAATTGTTTTCTCCATTATATGAAAGTTATTGAACCACTTTCATTTGATTAATTATTTTCCTTTCTGATCTTAAATATAAAATCCAGTTAAATGGTTTGTTTTCTTCTAAAAGTAAAACTTTTTTCTTCTTTATCTCGTTTTTCCCCCTCTGACTACCCTTGTAATTATACAATTTCTTCATTTGTTTAATTTTTATGTTTCAATGTAAATGATGAAAATGAGGGATACTTTAGAAAATTCATCACAAATCTTTTGCAAAGTAGCAACAAATAATCAATTTAAGTTTCTTTTTTTTTTTGTTTATTATATACAAATTAGTTAATTTGTTTCAATATTTAGAACCAAAAATCGTATTTTCAAAACATGCATCGTGACTTGATAAGTTCTGAGAAAGAAGAATGATGGGGCAGCCATACCTGGGGGATACCCCAAAAGCAAAGAAAACTCTTCCATTGATAGATCAAGCCAATCATCAACTGTGCAATAAGTATCCTGCAAATCTCAAAGCCCCACTGTAATACTAAGTCAATCAATTAGATTACCTAGTCAATTATTTAAATAACAAATATATTCTCTTGCATGAAACTCATTGAATTAGCCAAAAGAAAGTGTGAAACTTATTGAATAATTGAAATAAAGTGTGGTTTTCGTTGTACATTAATCAATATCAATATTAGTTAGCAGGAAAAAAAAATCAATCAATCTATTGGGAAGAAAAGATGTACTGTTTATTAGTGATCAATAGTGTGACATACGCTAAACTCCAAAGAAACATCCCAATAGTTATTTGATAATGGAAGAATCAATTTGATGGACAAAATCTATAACACCGCAAAACTACTTCCTAATATTCTTATTATAAGCTTTAAATAATCAATTTGCGTATAACAAAAAATTAGTTAAAAAATAATAAATATGTAAAAAATATATATTTTGTTTTCAAACATGCTCTTATAATAAATTTAAAAAAAAAAAAGGTGAAAAAGAGAGTATATGGTGGAACGCATAAAGGCAAGAGAATAAATAAGCAAGAGCAAAATTTAAAAAAATATATTGCCTATATTCCTTAGTGCAAAACCTAATTAACTAATTTGAATAAATTAATAAAATTACTAAATTATTTTAAAATATTTAAATTTATTGTTTTTTCCAAACCAATTTACCTCACTTATAAATTGATATAGAATTTAGTGATAGACATAAGTATTTTAGGAAGATAACGTAAGATGTGCTATAATTAAATACTTTAATAACTTCCTTACTTTCTCTAAATTAGTCAATTGTGTCATATATTAAATATCAGAAACAGTAGAAACAAAGTCAAATTAAAACTTATAAAATAAATTACTTTTTTTCAACGTTAAAGCTTACGAATAAGAGGGGAGGGATGGGCAATCACGCCACATGAAAATCTCAATGTTATTTGGTTGAGTAATTTTGGAGGCAATGAAGAAATGTCCTTAAATTCAGTTTGGTTAAAAATGTTAATATGATGATATAACTGACATTGGTCGTTACCTTTGGATGATCTGTTCCCATCTCTCTCTCGACGCACTCATTTGTGAATTGATTTCCATTGCCTATGTCGGCGCATGTCGATGAGCTGATTGTAAGAGCCAACAGCTCAATAAAATCTCAGTTGCAAACAATTCAAGGATTATAAGATAATTGCTACTTCTATTCTTAGTATAAGAGTTACTGGAAGAGTTCCCCCCTCTAAATATAAGATTCCAATATCTTTTTTCTCCTAAATTTTTAATTATTTTCCCAAAGTCTCCTTACATGTATTGAGGGATATTTGTCAAGAAGTAGTTTTCAATGCGAACAATTATAAACGTATTTTAAAAAAATCAACACACATTTTACAAATTAACTAATTTAACTAATTTTTTTTCATATTTACAAATCAATTCTAATAAACTAATTTAACTAATTTCTTTCATATTCACAAATTAATTCTAACTAATATATTTAGAATCAGAGGTAGTATTAAAATATAAATATAATAGTAAAAAATTAACAGCACATATTCTTTTAGTCTTATATAAATATAAAAACTCCGTAAAAGATTTATTTGGGTCATGAATATAATATCTTAATTTATTTTGTCATTCTAATTTATAATTTTTTAAAGTATCCCTATTAATTATACATATTAATGAAATTTTCATTATGAGTTAATTCTAATGCATATGATTAAAAAGACTATTTTAAAAAAACCAACACACATTTATTACTAGTTACTAGACTAATTTTCTTAATATTTTCAAATTAGTTATTTAGCAATCAGAAATAGTATTAAATGGGAATGAAATTGAAAAGTTATTAAATTTCCAGTTAATAAAGGCTAATATTTATTCCAATAAAAACATATTGAAAGTGCTTCATAAATAATAAGATGAACGTAAGAAACTCATGAGAATTTATAATGAGAATGATAAGGCAATCTTGATGAAGGATTAGTGTGTGTATATAGAGAGAGAGGGATTGATGAGGTTAACTTGCCAATAACAAATAGAATTGCCACAGGAGGAGCATCCACCGTGTCTTCCGCCGTGGCTACCGCCTTCCTCCTCCGCCCATGCTTCCAAGTTCTGATCGGCCTCGCTTGGTACCGTCTTTATAAGCAGAAACAAGCCACAGAAAGCTATTACTGCTGAGAAAATGAATTGCAGAAGCCATTTCTGGTCAAACAGAACCCGATCAAAGAGCATCTCATCAAGCAAGAGTAGCAATCAGAACAAAGAAATGATTGGGTAGCTATTAATAATAGTTTTGGATGTGAAAAGGTCAAGTCAACGGTGGAATAATCAAATTAAAATTAAAAATTAAAAACCAGACAACTAATCAAGTTGACAAAGAAGTGGGGATTTACCTTTGGTATGGGGGAATTGGAGGAGGGGAGGAGAGGAGAGAAAAAAATTTTAATGAGTTCAATTTAAAAAACCGGTAAAATAAGGTTATAAAATTTTGATTAAAAAAAAGATGTAGAATAAAAAAATAAGAAAAATTAATTAAAATTTGTTAACCCCTTTTCATCAATTTTTTAAATAGATTTCATTAAAAAATTTCCTCCCCTCTCCTCCTCTCTATTTCCCCCGCACCAAACTGATTTGATCATTCTAGGATTTAGCTACACCAATATATAATATAGATAATTAATTAGGTGTTAGTTTTGGTGATGATGAAGCCTGTAGCTCATCACCCTAATCAGGATACGACGTTTTTTTTCCCCCCCGAAAGCAACATTGTATTATGAAACACTGTATCTTGCGATACAGATTTTTTTTTTTAAAGAATAAAAAAAATTAAAAACTTTTAGGGGAAAATTTGGAAATAATTAAAAAAAAAACTTAGACAAGGACAGGTTTCTTTGTAAACTAAAGGCTAAAATACCAAAAACTCTCCTAAATTTTAGGCTAGTTGTGTATAACCTCTCTTATATTTAAAAGTTTAAGTTAAAGACCATAATGTTTTATGTTTTTATTATTAACCCCCTATCGTTAAAATTACAGTTAAAGTTAACGGTTTTCGTCACGTCAACTTTTTTAGTATTTTTTATTATATGTCATGTCATGTAAAAAATAACACTTACGATTTAAATAAGTAATTTTAATTCTTTTAAATATTTAAAATGAAATACTCAATTACTTCAAAATATAAAATATTTAAATATTAAAAATTATTTAAAATATTTATTTGATTGAGTTCTTTTTAAATAAAAAAATTATAAATTACTTAAACTTACCTGTCAAATGACACGTTTTGTTTTTTAAATGACATGATATATAATAAAAAAAATATAAAAGAATCTTGATATGGCAAAAACCATTAACTTTGGTGGTAATTTTAACTGTAGGAGGTTGATAATCAAAACATTAAATATTAGGGTCTTTAATTTAAACTTTTTAAGATAAGAGAGGTTATACGAAACTAACTCAAAGTTTAGGAGAGTTTTGTATATTTTATCCTAAACTAAATGACTGTTCATACGATTAAATTAAGAGAAAATGACAGATAAAGAAGTTTCAAAATGAGAAATGCTAATTTAGAAAGCTAAGGAAATGTAATTACAGATAGGGAAGTTCTTCCCAAATTGGAATTTTGAAATTCAGTGAAATGACAAAAATGCCTTTTGTCCTTTTTTTTAAAAAAAAAACCAATCCCTCACTGGTGGCCAAATACCGGCGACCACCGCCGGCCACCGGTGTGGTGGTTGCCGGTGAAGGATTTTTGTGACAAGATTTTTTTTTTTAGAATGGGATAATATTGGTTCAAAGTGACAAGGGTAGGATTTGATCCCACAACCTCTTGGCTACTTGGACCAACGAAAGGGAAGATGGCCATTGGGTCATCAAAGATTTCTTAATCTTATAATGCAAACAAAAATATAAGTTGACTCTTTTACTGTGACTCCAGCTCGTGACAACAATTTATCTAAGGATGACAAGTCTTAATTGAGAAATAACAAGTCTAAATTTGATATTAACAAAGCAACTTTTCCTCATACATAACAAGAAATAGCATGTACGTTAATTAAAAATGACCATAATTTATTTCAAAATAACACGTCTTTACTAGAAAATGATAGGTCTAAACTTGATATTAACAAGGCAACTTTTCCTTATACATAACAAGAAATATCGAATAAATTGTTGTTATTTTCCAGTAAAGACATGTTATTTTCAAATAAATTATGGTCATTTTTAATTAACGTACATGCTATTTCTTGTTATGTATGAGGAAAAGTTGCCTTGTTAATATCAAGTTTAGACTTGTCATTTTCCAGTAAAGACGTGTTATTTTCAAATAAATTATGGTCATTTTTAATTAACGTACATGCTATTTCTTGTTATGTATAAGGAAAAATTGCTTTGTTAATATTAAGTTTAGACTTGTCATTTTCCAGTAAAGACGTATCATTTTTAAATAAATTATGATCATTTTTAATTAATGCACATGCTGCTATTTGTTATGTATAAGGAAAAGTTGCTTTGTTAATATCAAATTTAGACTTGTTATTTTTCAATTAAGACTTGTCATCCTCAGATAAATTGTTGTCACGAGCTGGAGTCACAGTAAAAGAGTTAACTTATATTTTTGTTTGCATTATAAGGTTAAGAAATTTGATGGCCCAATGGCCATCTTTTTTTTTTGTTGGCCAAAGTGGCCAAGGGATTGTGGGATCAAATCCCACCCCTGCCACTTTAAACCAATATTATCCCATTCTAAAAAAAAATATTGTTACAAAAGTCCTTCACCGGCAGCCACCACATCGCCGGTGGCCAGAGGCGGTCGGCGACCGCCGGAGGCCAATCGCCGACGGTGGTCGCCGGTCGCCGGCCACCGGTAAGGTGATGGGTTTTTTTAAAAAAAAAAAGAAAAAGAAGAACAAAGGGCATTTTTGTCATTTCACTGAATTTTAAAATTTCAATTTGAGAAGGACTTCCCTATGTGTAATTATATTTCCTTAGCTTCCTAAATTGGCATTCAAACTTCTTTATCTGTCATTTTCCCTTAAATTAATGAGTTTGTCAGGTCAAAAACAAAAACCTTAATATGAGTCAGTATATTTTCATTAAAGAGAGTAAATATTATATAACGGACCTGAAAATGTCTCATGATTTTAACTAAACAAATAAAAGATACTCTTTTATTAAAACCTAATTAACTAATTTGAGTATATTAAGGATGTTAATTAAGTTAGTTAATATAATTTTTTTCTAAAATATTTTAATCATCTTTTTTAAATTTTTTTTTCTCCTTCTCATGCTTGATTATTGTTAAGTAAATATCAATATGATTAATTTAAAAAATAAATTATAAATATGTAAAATAGGTTGTCATCACCAAGTAGGACAGGACAAGTACAAATATAATTAACACTTACCCGCAGGACCAGTCTCCCTCGTAGCTTTCTGGCACGTTCTTTGTGGACAATCTATGAAGTTTCGGGTTCGAGACTTGGTATGATATACTACTTCTTCTGGTCCTTAATTTATTATGAGGTACTCCAAAGTACCTCCCTTTTGGACCGTGACGAGCCCTGCTGTGCCTGGATCGTGCAAAAGGACTGGGATGTTTGATTCTTCAGTGTCTCCTTGTTTTTGTTTGCTCAGTGTTTCTTCTGTCACGCTGTTGAAATCTGAGGCCCACCAGATGATGAACCAAGTGTTATCTACTCTGCTTCTGCTTTTGTTTTTTCATCTTTGTTATCTAAGTGATGTTATCTATCTCTTTTCGTATGATGAAGCTCTTTGAAAATCATAGACCTTCGTTGAACAAGTTCTTCCCGGATGGAAGTTCTTCTCAGAAATATCAAAACATGGAGTCCAACGTTGAACAAGTAGCGTTCCTTTGAATTCACAACACCTTCTTGTAATACTTTTTCAAGTTTTCATCCTCATCAGAACGAACCAACAAAGTAATTAATTACTGGGGAAACCCATTAGTTCCCACTCAAGGATCACCCAGATTTGTGCCAACTATTTTTTTAGGTTCTAAACATTGATCTTCTTACAAAGCAGGGTAATGAAGAGAGATTTGTTCCCTGGTTGACTCTACACCGTCCTCCTCAATCCAATCATACCACTGGTCAGCCAGGAAATAGCCTGAGACGGCTGGTTATTGGCTCCCGACATATATGGCAATTGGAAATTGTCAGCATACAGTCCCCACAAGTCTGCATCAAAAGTATTTCATAATCATCATTTTCATACATTAGCAGGAAAAGATCAGTGAAATGTCCATTGTAGAGAGCCTACCATGTGCCCACATCCAAAGGCCACGTCCTTCTTGTTTGTCAGGCAAATTGCACAAGCCTGCATGTCAAAGTAACAGCAGCTCTAGGCTCATTAGTCCATCCAATTATTTCTGGTATGTTTCTAAATAGATTAATTTTTTCATCCCTACCCAATTCACTCTTCTTCAGAAGTTATATTACACATCACAAAATGACAGCAGGTATAAACCAACTGGTACTCATATTAAGTAAAATAGAAAGGAAATATACCTTATCATCTGATGAGTCGATATCCGTCTCCAGATCAGACAGCTTTTCCTTAAGTATAAACCAGAACAAAAGTGATAAAGTCAATTGAAAATGAATATGAAAAAGATTTAGCAGTGTTTATATAGAATATGGTAGAGTTTTTATGGAGACAAACAGATACCTCAGCAGCTGCAGCAGCTTTAATTGCATTGGCTAACTCTAGTTCCTTCTTTTCCATTTGTCTCCTGGAACTTTGTCTTATCTCCTCACATTCTGTCTTCTTCAATTTCACAAACTCCCTCTCTTCTTCCAACTCTCTCACTGCCTTTATCCATCCATTCTAAAAATTGAAATTACCAATTTTAATAGCATATCAGTATGCATGGTATGTTAGCATTAAGTACTCCTCATTAATATAAACATGCTGTAATTATCTTGGGATGTGAAATTTATATCAGGGTAAAACTTGGAGAGGCCACTAATATTAAACACAAACCATTCAGCTTTATTGTATGTTTGGGCAAGAATAGTACTCGAATGAATGACATCTCGAGGCACCCTTTTATTGTGGTTAGATCCTTCAAATTGACTAATGAGCTTTGACAATATCAGTTGGTGGTATATGTTAGAGTCATCTTTAAGAATAAGGATCCGATTACTTGTAAAATTAATGGGGGGAAAAGAATACCAACATTAGCTATTACCTCAGCAAGGTCAGCTCGAGTTGTAGCATACTCCAAATTTTTACTTGTATTGACTAACTCTTGACTGAGAAATTTCACAAGCTCTCTCTGTTCATCCAACTCCCTCATTGCATTCATCCATCCATCCTAAACATTGAAATTACCGATTCATAGTATATAACATGTTAGTATAAGTACTCAACATAAAATACATAGTTACTTGTGATTCAAAAGTTATTATCAGAAAAAGGCATCTGGAAAAAAAAATAAAGAAGATAAGAAACACACCTTCAACATTTGAATATATTCTTCTTGCTCTCTCCTCTCTGCATATCTTGTTTCCTCAATTTTTCTATTGGAAGTTGTAATCCTCTCTACCTCCCGTTTAAGCCTTCGTACTTGTTCCTGCTCTTCTCGCAGCTCTTTCGCGGCCTTTGCATATTCACTCTGCATAGCAATTAATCAACAAATTCATACCTGAAAATGGAGCTTCTTAACATTGTCCAAAATCCAGAGGAAGTCTGTTATTTTCTCTTCCATTTTATAGAAATGTGGGCGGCTTTCAATAATAGAAGTGAAATCTTTATCATTTTAACAAAACTCAGGAGAATGTTGTGTAATTTTGCTGTGTCGAAAAGGCAGGGAAAAGGGAGAAAAGAGAGGGAAACAGGGGAGATAGAGAAAAGAATTGTCTTTCTCCCTTGGGAACAAGTCTTCGTAAATTATGAGAATAGGTAATAAACCTGTGTACTTCTAAAAAAATCAAGAGAACTTTGTTCAGTTTGCTCCAAAATCAATGAGTGGAACATTTTGATCAGGCTGCTGAAACAGACCTCAAGCTTTCGGGTGTGTTTATCTTGTTTGCTCCTCTCAACAATCCTTTCTTCCTCTGCAATCTGAGAGAGATAAACTAAACACATAAATAAATGTAAGTACATGCACATTCAAATATTAACTAAGTTTTTTCAATAATCATGATCTTAAGTTGTTTCTTTCCATTTGATATCACTTGTTTGTGAAATGGATCGAATAATTCAAATTCACAATGCAGCTTTAAAGAAGCGCAAGCACACACACATATATGTATTTGTTTGATAAAACTTATATAATCACCTGGTTTTCATCAGATTCTCTCATCAAGTTGTTTAGTCTTCTGCTAACAAAATTTGTTAGGGCTGACCAATTATTGCCCTCTGATTCTAGCAGTGAATCCTCTTTCCTGACAAAGACATACACAATGAGAAGTTCATTAGAACATCTTCATCTTCATCCTAATGTTTTACAAGTTCTTACTCAATAATCTATGAACATGCAGTCTGGCAATGAATCTTAATAAGAAAGGAGAACTTTACTTAGACTTAGCTAGCTCTTCCTCAAGATGTCTCACCCTTTTCTCAATCTGCTTAAGGGATTTCTTGGTATTATCCTGCATCAATTAAAATTTAAATGTAAGTCAAATCATTATCAAACTACTAGAGTGATTAAGCATTACCTTTTCATCTTTTGCCACCTTTGTCTCAAAGCATTCATATTTATGGCCTTGCCTCCAGTGTATTATTTGGCATATTCCAGAACTGACAACAAAAATCCTTCAAATATCAACAGTCAACACAACTCACACGTCTAAGAATCTACTATAAAATATTCATAAATGCAGCATCTTGTAAAGCTAATAGTTGACAGAGAAATATAGATTAATTTCTTATACTTCCTGATTTTCTTATAATTCCTAACTTAGTCTTTCATTTTCGCACGCGCTGTCTCAGATTGACAGTATTTTGAAGGAAATGAAAAGAAAGGAGCGGGAAAATGAGAAAATTGAAATTACTTTTGATAGTTTTATTTGAATGAAATGAAACAGAGTGAGAGAAAGGAAACAAGAATAGCTTTTTTAAATGATTCTGATAACGTAAGGCATATCATAAGTGGATGTTTATGTTTTGAATAACAAAATTAACCTCCTGAACTCTTGTTATTGGGTTAAAGGTATTATAAACTACTCTTCCGGTCTTTAATATAAAATCTATTTAACTAATTTAATTAGATTAAGGAAGTTAGATAAGTTAGTTAATTATAAAAAATATGATATGTTTTTTCTAAAACACCACAATCATCTTCCTTAATATTCCCTTTCCCTCTTCTACTTGATTACGGTTAAGGGAGTATCCATAAAAGTAATTTAGAAAAAATTGATAAATATGAGGAATAGGTCTTATATTTAGGACCAAAATCAATTTAACGATTAGGTCATATATTAACAACCAGAGGAGTATTATGTAATCTTTCAAGTATTATAAACTAAATGATACAACATGATCTTTGAAATATTAAAATGGTGTAATATTGTCTCTTCCTCAAAAACATTTGTTATTTTTGAGAGTTAATTGAACAGAACAATCACAGAATTGACCCCGTAAAACCACAAATAAATACCCATGAGAAAATTAATACTACTAAGTCACAAAAATTACAAACAAATGTCAAGAACTAATAATGTCAAGAACTAATTTTATTTTTTTAACCAATGTAAAAGAGTAAAATATGATTTTAACTAGCCATTTTAACTAGCTAATCAGTGACCAACTACTTTGTTGTGAGAGTCTCGATGAGTAATTAAAAATATTGTTTTTATTTTAATAATTTCATTAAAATATTAAGAATTTATTATTTAATAACTAAAATATTAATATTATTTATAAATCTACACACGCAATTTACAAGTCTAAACCTTTTTTTTTTTTTTACCTGAACAAGTCTAAACTTTTGAGACTTACAAAACTTCCATAATTTACAATTTCCATGATATTTTTCCGTAACTCTTCCCTGGGGAGACCAAGTCTAAATTAGACTAAAATATCTGGTGCATCGTAGGATTGTTCCAATGGAACATTCTTCCTCTCCTCTGCCTCAACATTTCCTTGAGAGGAAACAATAAATAAAAATTTAGAAGACTAACCAATATCGAACCAATTTGCAACGAGCACACCTTGTGGTAGTTGGTGTTCCACATAAGGTGCAAGGCAGAGACCTCATCCTCTGTTCCCTCTCTTTAACCAATATCTCTTTGCATGACTTGGCCTCTGTTTCTGCCAATCTCAGCAGCCTCCTGATTTCCTCTGTTCTCCCCCTCTGTTTTCTCTTCTTCAGCAAAATCAGTCCTTGTCGGATCATTACTGCTACCACTACCAACTTCAGAAGCATGCCAAACATTGATATCTATTTTGGGGAGTTCAAGGAAACATTGATGCTTGTATCTATATATATGTATGTGTGTTCAGTGGTTATATGATATTTTATTCATTAGGATGGACCAAGATATTTCTTGCTCATTTCCACGAAACTTGGGTGTCATCGTTACATTTTAATATCAGAAATACAGCTACTAAGAAGCTGCAGAAATCGTTGACAGATTTAGTCAGCTAAGTTTATTGATTTCAGCTGGGCTCCATATCTGAAATGGTCAAAGTCTGGGGCTGCCTATGTTCATATTTTTGCCATCTGTTGGAGTCGCGCATTTTCATAGTTAAAAAACCGCATCACTTCTAAAGTTGTGTGTCACGATTTTTATGATTATTGGACGATTTTGTAGAGAGCTTAATGTCTTGTGAGGTGGAATGGAACATTTTCATTATAGTCCAGTTATAGAGACCAACACAAAACCCAGTCTGGTACGTAAGAAAAATTAAACGAGAACGAAAAGTACAAGTAATGGAGATGCGGGGTATCGATCCCCGTACCTCTCGCATGCTAAGCGAGCGCTCTACCATCTGAGCTACATCCCCGTCGGTGCTTGGTTCTGTCGCAAAAGAAATAACTTGTATAATCACGAGCGTGTAAACGGTTCATTCCTATTTGCTACCCTTAACACATCACTGTAGGCGCTGGCAATATATATACACACACACACATCAGTGGAGGTTGGTTACTGATCATATCTCCTCACGTCTCCATCTTTTGCTGAACCTCTCATGTACCAATAAATTTCTCTTTATATATAGGTTTTCTCAGTTAATATTTACCACTATTGTTTCATTTCTATTTGTTTGCCGACGCGTTACGAGTAACCGTTTGAGTGAAAATACGAGAGAGAGAGAGAGAGAGAGAGATGAATGGAAGTAAAAGAAATTGTTATACTCATGCATGGTTGGAATACAATCTTATGTACATATGGAGGACACAAACAAACTAATATACAATTAAACAGCTGAAACAGAGAAGCTAACTCTTAAAATACACCTGAGCGTAACCATCTGTTGCTTTCCCATTCTATTCAACACTGTTCAGTTACATCAGCGGTATGAAGGTTGAAGGTAGCCTTAGAATATTGCTGCAGGCACTACTTTAGATAGATCGAGAAAATAAGGGGGGAAAAAGAAAAGGAAGATCAATTGAGATTCCTGACCCAAAATTTCCTTTCTCTTCACCATCCTCCTCAATCCAAACACACCACTGGTCAGCCAGGAAATAGCCTGAGATGGCTGGTTATTGGCTCCCGACACATATGACAGTTGGAAATTGACAGCATACAGTCCCCACAAGTCTGCATCAAAAATATTTCTTCATCATCATCATTTTCTTACATCAGCAGGAAAAAATCACTGAAAGGTCCATTATAGAGAGCTTACCATGTGCCCACATCCAAAAGCCACGTCCTTGTCATTGGTCAGACAAATTGCACAAGCCTTCATGTCAATGTAAATACAACTCTAGTTTCATTAGTCCATCCAAATTCATCAGCATAAACTATTTTGGAAATTTTTCTAAGTACATCAATCTTTTCATCTCTCGCCAATTTACTTCTCTTCACAAGTTGTATTACACATTGCCAGACGACAGGAAGCACGAAAAAAGTGAGGAAGAACTAGTACTCATATTCAGTAAAATATAAAGGAAAAATACCTTATCATCTAATGAGTTGATTTCCCTCTCAAGATCGGAGAGTTTTGCCTGAAGGTATGTTAAGCCAATCATACGTAGATAAAAAATTAGAGAAGTTTCTATGGAAGATGTTAGAATTCTTAAAGGATGGAGACAAACAAATACCTCAGCAACTGCAGCAGTATTAAGGGCGTTGGCTAACTCTTGTTCCTTATTTTCCATTTGTCTCATGAAACTTTGTCTAATCTCTTCACATTCCGTCTTTATCATTCTCACAAGCTCTCGCTCTTCTTCCAACTCTCTCAATGTCTTCATCCATCCATCCTAAACATTGAAGTTACCAATTCATGGTACATTTAGTATAAGTACTCCACATGAATATTAACATGGCATGACTGTCCTCAGATGAAATATTTATTTGGGTGGAAGTAGGAGAAAACTCTAACCATATACCTACCCTTACTTTTGAAATCATATCAGCTTTAATATATAAAATCCCGTCAAAATTATCTTCAAATATGTTTGGGCAAGACAGAAGTAATACTTCCTCTTATCCTGGATGCCGGAACTAGGTAACTAATTTGCATAGATTGAGCAAATTAGTTAAATTAGTCATTTGTGAAACAATTTTTGTTGACTTCCCTCAAGTATTTTTTTTAATCATTTGCATCAAAAATTACTCCCTTGATAGAAAGCTCCCTTAATATGTTCAAAATATAGGGAGAGTATCAGGGAAAATTATAAATGTGAAAACAAAGTGGATTGAGATCTTAAATTTGAAACTAAACCAAATCCCCCTACTAGCTCTTGCATTTGAGACTGGAAAGAATACCTAGAAGACTTGATACCCTTGTATTCTAGTTATGTCCTTCAAATTTACTGATGTGCTTTGACAATTTCACTTTGTGGTATTAATTATTAAAGTTGTATTTTAAGACCAAAGGATTTGTGTCTTCCAACTCCTAAAATAATTCATCAAGTTACTTTGCCTTTAAATAATACATAAATATTTCAAAACTAAGGAAAACACCAACATCAGCTGCTACCTCAGCACACTCAAGATTCTTGCGGGCATTGGCTAACTCTTGACTTAGCTTTTCAGCTTTTCTCTTAGCTATCTGTACCTCGCCATCTTGCTCTAGTTGAAGCCTTTGCTTTCGCTCTTGCTCCAGTTCTCTCCTTAGTTGAACGCATTCAGTCTGTAAAGTTAACAGCCAGGGCTTCAGAATAATGATAAGGAAGTGATAAAAATAGAGTAATAATATTACAATACCTAAAGGTACTGATCTTTAGAGTAAGAATATTACACTTGTATGAATATGTCAAGTTGAGGAATATCCTTGTAAGGCTCTAAAAAACAGACCTTTAGTAGCTGAATATTTTCTTCATGTTTTATCCCTTCAGCAACCCTTGCTTCCTTTGCGTTCTGCATGGTAATTAGATCATACCACATATTTTAATATATTGGTATGCACAAATTTAAATTTGAACTATATATGGTCAATTAATCATGTTAAAAATTACAACTACAACTTTTCATCCCCTGATCTTGTTGAGAAAAATGATGAAATAGATTTGAATTTTCCTATTGAAAGGTACTAGAGTTGCATTATTTGGCCTAGTGCATTTGGAAATTTAGTTTTGTTTTCCCCCCTTTTGTAAAGACCTGTCTAGTCTTGTTTTAAGACTTTCATGACATGGAATCAAATGGGTAGATGTGAAGCTATATTTGAAATTTGAGGTGGTGGAGTTAAAGTGAAATTCTTATTTCCACTTGCAATTAATTCTTATTGTAAACAGTAAATCATTCATTGTTGACAAAGTACAAAGGCTTCTTGTTGTTGTTGTAAAAAGTAAATCTTTTCCTATGGATGTTAACTTCTGCTTCAAGTATGATTATCAATCATAAAGGTAAGGCACTGCAAAAAAATATATATATATAAGAAACTGACCTCCAACATTTGCATGTATTTTTCTTGTTTTCTCCTCTCTGCAACTCTAACTTCTTCAGTTTTTATCATGGAATTTCTTGTGATCTCCTCTGCTTCCAGTTTGAGCCTTCTTACTTGTTCCTGCTCTTCTAAGAGCATTCTCCTCGCCCTTGCACATTCACTCTGCAAATCAACAAATTGTCCCTGAAAATGTTAAGCTTCTTGGCATTTGATATGACTCATTCTTGGAAGACACAGCTGAGAACAGACCTCCAGCATTCGGAGATGTTGATCTTCTATGCTCCTCTCTGCAATCCTTGCTTGTTCTGCAATCTGTGAAGAAGTTAATCTAGACCCCAAAAATAAACTGGAAGGACATGCACATTCAAATCTTGTCATGATCACGAACTTAATTTGTTTCTTACCATTTGCTATGACAGATCATGCAAGAAGCAAATATCATTCATCAGATTTCTGCAAGACAAGCATATGTTCGTTTGGTAAGCTTCATAATCACCTGGTTTTCATCAGATTCTCTCATCAATCTGCCAAGTCTTCTGCTAACAAAACTAGTTCTTGCTGACCAATTGCTGCACTCTAATTTTAGCAGTGAAATATCTTCCCTGTCAAAAACATATACAACAACAAGATAGAAGGTTAGGATATGTTCATATCCATCTCAATAGCTTACACACTCCTGTGTAGTCCATTGGTATGGACAACATCTTGTGTATTGCATAATACTTAGAGTTATTCAACTTGGATAAAAGGATATCTTCAGTTTACAAGCAGATCCACCATTGCAACTACCCAAATCGATTATCAAATTAAAGCTTCTAACAAACTGAGGAATAAAAGGATACTAAATCCTACTTCCAGTAACATACTGTGGCTACAAATGAAGACGACGAGGTATGTTGTGGGTTGCAACTCGAAGGAAGGCAAAGACCAGCATCAACCAAAAAACTTCGGGTTGATTGATTACAAGCATCAATGCTTAATTACAAAAAAGATAACAAAGGAGAGCTTTACTTGGACTTAGTTAGCTCTTCCTCAAGGTGCCCCACTCTTTCCTCACTCTGCTCAAGGGCTTTCTTAGTGGCATCCTACAATAAATTTAGACATAAGTTAGACCATCACATTGTTATTTCTTATACGATAATGTCCTACCTGACTTATTGTGCCTATGATGATACCTCATAACTTCAATCAAAGGATTTGGGTTGGTGTTTTCTTCTTCTGCATCAGCTGGCCAAGCAATGACAAATCAGATGACTGAAAATCAACGAAGAAATGGAAAATTAACAGTACAAGCATGCTATTGTCCTACCATTTTCTTCTTGTCAATGTCATTTCACTTAATTTTTCTTTTACTATGTCTGTTTTCATATCTATTTATTACTTAGTTGGATTTTTGTTCTAAATGGCAAATAAATGTGATGCACGGATAACATCTTTCTAAGCTACCTAATTATCTTATTGTGTGTGTGTGTCTATATGATCACCACCTGAAGCAGAATCAAAGGATTCGTCGATGGCTGCACCAGGAATTGAAGGTTCTTTATCATTGATCCTGGACTCATAATTAGTCGCTGCCGGCTGCCAATAACCACCCTGCAAACCATATGTAAATATTTTTTTTCATGGTCAACCTCCATTATACTATGATATAATTACGCAGTTCATCCTTTCATTCGTTCATTTTATAAAACAACGGAAACACCAATTGACGTAGAAAAGATCAAAAGCCGCGCTGCAATTAATTTTAAAGTTTGGATTGAAAACAATGATTGATGAGAATATTACCTTTTCATGGTGGTTGAAGACTTCATATCTATGTCCTTCTCTCCAGTGTATTATTTGGCTTTTCCCAGAACTAACAATAATAAAATGAGAATCACACAGTTTTTAAAACAATTCATTGTTCATCAGTGGTGCATAAGAATATAACTCTTTCTTTTTTGCAGGGCCAAGCAAGACCTTCAAATTTTGGGAATTTGACTTCACACAGATAGATAAATAGCAGTATGTCTTTCGTTTAAAGAGAGACATCATCCACGAAGAAGACTTAGATACTTAATCTTATATATTTAACATATTTTTGCTCAATCAAATCAGATTAAGTTTTAATATACAGAGATTAATGAGTAAATTTCCGTATAACACAGATAGCAAGCTTCATCAATTTTCCTGTGTCCATCTTCTTTGACCAACCTCTCTTCACTTATCTTTATCCTTTCTGATTCAGCTCTCTCTGCTTCTGATTCTGCCAATCTCACCAGCCTTTTGATTTCTTCTCTCCTGAGATTGGCTTTTCTTCTCTTCTTCCCCAAGAAAATCGATCCTCGCCAGATTATTACAGCTACCACTATCAAATGCAGAAGGAAGCCGTTGATGCACACACACATATGTAAGTGTGGGTTAAAGGAAGCCATTGATGCTCACACACATAGATGAGTGTGTGTGAGTTAAAATGATCATATGCTATTTAATTGCCATGAATGGACGAAGATATATCCTATCAGAATTCAATAAGCACCGAAGCTGGTTCCATATCCTACCACAAGACTTGTGTCATCATCCCTTCCCCCCTTTTTAAATAAGAAATAAAACTACCTAGAAGATGCAGAAATCATTAACATAATATTAAGTCAAATAAGTTGATTGATTTCATCTTGGCTTCACTTGAAACGGTCCAAGTTTGGGCTTTTGCCATCTGTAATAGTTATGCATTTTTCTAATTAGAAAAAAAAGGTTGTTGTGCAGTTAACATCTCTTCTAATGAGATGTTATCATGATAAGCAATGTTATTCAGTATGCAAAAAAAGCAAAATTAGATGTAATGAAATTAGGGGGAAAAAATTGAATGTTAAAATATTTTAGTCTGTTCAAGGACTATCACTATGGTTTCATCTTTGGTATCCTTGTTAAGTTAACTGCAATAGTTTTATCCTTTAGAAGGAAGAACTTTTTTATTATAATGTGTACCTAGGCAATTTTTTTTTTTTTTTTTTTTGCTGCAATGGTCACGGTGTACCTTGATATTTGAATAAGACGCGTAACTTGGGCCTAACATATCTAATGGCCCAACCCAAAAGACTATCATTGGGGCCCATTCTAAATATGAAAGGAGATCACTGAATAGTTTTGTTATTGCCACTGAATACTTATCCCTCGTATGTGCGTCAGTCTCCTTCACCCCTTAGCCCGTCTCACGAAAAGAAAAGGAAAAAGCAATGCAGCAATTTATAAATTATCCACCACACGGCCCATTCTTTAAACTTTGTGGGAAAAGATATATGTAATTGAAACAATAACATATATTTTTTTTAAAAAATATTCTATCATCCCATGATTAAAATTTAATGAGCAAAGATAATAATTCCCCAATAAATAAAGGAGGGAAAATTTTAAATTTAGGAGGCAAGAGAAAATGAGATTTTATATTTATGATGAAATAAAAATTCTCAAATGACACTATATTTAAGATTGTAAGATGTAAATCAATAATTACATGACTCACATTTAAATTAATTAATGAATTTTTTTTTTTGGTGAATTGAGTAGAGGGGGAGCAGGCAGAGACACACACAAATGGGCACTTGTGAATAATGAGGTGTAAACGAAAATTGGAGATTAAGACAGAAAATGAGAAGTGAAAGGGATATGGATGTGGAAGAGAATTTAAAGGGAAAATGGGGACAATATGGTCCACTTAACGTTATATATTAATAGAATGTGATTGATGAGTTTTTTATCATCCTCATTATCACAAGCCCCCCACCATGTGATCCCTCTCCTCTAATTAATACAACACACGTGTCTCAATCACCCCCACAAAAATTAATTACTTCATTCCACACAGTTAATCAATTTCTTGACATTTTTGCATAATTTTGTTGTCATTATTTTTTGTATAATTATCTTATACTTGATATCATCAAGCTAAATTTAAATATCATAAGATTCAATTGTGAGCAGTTTTAACAATTCATTATTTTTAAATATAGTGTTTTTCAAAGTAAGATGTTCATATACACAAAATTGATATAGGATTTACGTAATATATTGGTGTAGAGTATGCTATATGTGCAGTGAGATTAAGGAGCAGAAAAGGAAAATAAAAAAAAAATAAAGTTAACATGATCTCTCAAATTAATCTACACATATACATTCATATATAACTTTTTAGGCAAATGTGGGTGTGTGTATGTGTGTAATATTTTCTTAATCGAAATGTTATAACTATTTTATCATTTACAAATCACAATCACACAAGACTTAAGGTTACCCGTTTTATGAGACTTTAATTAAGTACCAGGGCTATGGGGGCTGCTTGCTTTGAAAACTTTTAAGTGATGTGACATGATAAAACTAGTTCGTTGAAGGAAAAAAAAGTAGGGCTATGAAATTTCAATAAAAATAAAATATAAAATAAAATAATAAAAAATTAATTAAGATAAAATGACTTATAAAAGATCATCAAATTTTTTTGGAAAGTAATAATTACAAAAAACAGAAAGGAGTAAATATTTTAAAAAAATAATATTTCAGGTGTAAATATTTAAAAAATGATATTTCAGGTGTAAATATTTTTTAAAAAAATGATATTTCAGGTACTTGAATATAATTTAAAGGAATATAAATTTAAGAAAAAATTGGTAAAAATTTCCTGGTTGAAAATTTAATTGGTTAAAAGGATATGAATTTAAACAAGTACAACTATGATCCGTGAGTGTAACATATTTTTTACTGTGTGCAACATATTATGAATGATGTGTAACAATTATCAATACGAAAGTTATTTACACACAACAGAAGATATGTTACACACAGTAAAAGATATATTGTACCTACGGATTATAGTTGGATGTGCTCAAATTCAGATCTTTTTAGCCAATTAAATTTTCAAACAGGCATTTTTTTTAGCAATTTTTTCTAAATTTAAATATTTTTATTCATATTATATTTGTTATATTTATATGTGTGTCACAAATACCTTAAATATTAATTGAGGCAAAATAAATTTGAGGCTGGTTGCATAGTAGTAATAATAGTAATGAAAAAGATATCCGACAAGGCATGTTTTGAGTGGGTACTGGGAGCAATCTTGTCAAGTATGAAAGGATATATCCATATCCGTACATAAAACACGAAATTGATGGCAAATAATTGGTTTCTCCCCACTTATTATTCTTTTAAAAGTAAAAAAAAACATTCATTGCCATAATCATTTATAGATTCATATTTATCCAAAAGAAAATCAATTAATAATATTAAGAAAAATTAAATGTCGTTGAGGTTCATGGAAACAGCCCCATCCTAATGAATTTTTTTTTTGGTGACAGAATTTTAAGAAAGGGATTGGACTCATCCACAATCCAAAGGCAGGACACTTAATGTTTGATTCATTGGGATTTGTCTCTACGGGCACGGGAGCATGACAAGCAAGCGCTTTTTTTTTTCTGGCCCAATAGGTAGGATTCTCTGAGTTTCACTATGCTGTGGAAATGCCTCCCCAACGCTGCGAATGGAGTCACAACAAAGTGGTACTCCTCAGGATCGAACTCCCTCCTTGTGGTAAGAGAGTCAGACCCCTTCGCTAGCTGAACCCACGGAGTTGGCTCCATTGAAATAAATTTGGCCATCCTTTAAAAAAACTGACATATTCAAATTTAATTCTTCAAATAATAGTAAAATCGATGTGAACTGATAAGAATCCTGGCAATATTCTTTAATTTGTAGGAGAATTTACACTTCATGATCATTAAGTTCAGTTTATCATTGTAAAGTTCGCAATATTTATCATGAATATTACCTAATGTTCCAAAAATACCCGTATATAAAATTTTAAAAAAAAATACAATACCTGATTGGCAAAACCGCGTCCCATCCTTCCCGCCAAATCTCTACTTGACAGCTCAATTTCCAAATTCTGATTTGTAATCTCATATTTTCGTCCATCTAAGAACTTCGACCATTCTTCAACGTGTTTTTATGAATTCATTCTGTTTCTTTAAAATTCAGTCATAGATTTTTGCCTTGATCATTCATTGAAAGAGATTCATTGTGTTTATTTATTTATTTTAATAATTTAAAATTTTACTAATACATTTATAAAATGTTAAATCTGAAAATTCAATTCAACGGTGGTTGAAATGAGAAGTGTAGAGGAAGTAGAATTTACCTAAGTGTAATATTTATTTGAATTATTGTGGTAGTATTTAATTATAGGTAATGGAATACAAATAAGGGTAGTTGGAGAAAAAATAAATAAATATAGAAGATAAAATAGATTGGAATCTTATATTTAGAACCAAAATAAACATCAAACTAACTCTTATATATTAAGTACCAGAGATAGTATATATGAGGGATCAACAGTAATTGAGTCAACTAGAAAAAAACTCATCAGGATCTTGTAATTCAAATAATACCAAGTGTCTCCGTCAAAATTTTCATAAACATAAGATTGTGAGCAAGAGATATGGCAAAATAATGGAAGAAATTCAATTTCTCATAAGTAATACTAGCTCATGTTCCAATTATAAGACTTTATTTATACACTGCAAACATGATTTTGTAATTCAATGATGCATATTTTCTTTTGTCTTTTTTTCTAAATTAATAATCATTTATATGAATGTGTTAACCAAATCTAACGTTAATAAATATGAGTTGTAAAGTTTGCAAACTCTGGCCTGAACCTCCACTTTATTATTATTATTATTATTATTATTATTATTATTATTATTATTATTATTATTATTATTATTATTATGGCAATAACATAGTTGAAGTAAAATAAGTCAACAAAGGAAGCCTCTAAGAAATAACCACCATGTGCTGTTTGTCTACGAAGAAAATACAAGACTAACCCTTTATATAATTTGAGTTTAAATTACATATACAAGACAGATTGACAAAAATAAAAAATTAAAAGTACAAAAGTTGTCTAAATATTATTGGGACATTATAATTCGGAAACGCATGAATGAAGCCTCCAGGAAATAAGAATCATGAACATTTTTATCCTAATAATAGGAAAGAAAGAACAAAATAGGAAAAATGTAATAATTAAGCAAACCGTGTGCAGAATATTGACACCCATCCATTATATCATCAATAGCGTGTATACAAATTATAGAATAATATAGAATTTTAATTTGGCCATAAATATATTTAACTTAGCACTCATTATATATTAATTATATTAGAGTAATAAATAATTAATGAAATGAAAAGGTCGGTTGTTAATCACATGGGATGTCTCTTTCGTGTGGCAAAAGTATCAACTCAACATAACATAATCCAAACCCTAATTTTGGAAAGGTGGGTAATTCAATAGTTACAATAAAAAGGGCAAACCTATACTTATAGGCGCCTGTATATAGAGCAAATGGATGGGGAATAAGAATAATCAGAATACAATAATTATTAATTAAATAGTCCCCTCCATTAATTATCATTCATTTTGATTAGGGAAAAAAATCATGTGATGGTCGGTTAGATTTCATCTTTAAAATGAAAATAAGAGGAATAATTCAACCACACAGCATGACAGAACAAAAGGGGAATTTAAAACTTAGAACTGCAAGGAATTTTATAAAGTGAGATACCTTTCTTAATAACATATATGCATAATAAAAAGAAAGCTGATTTCAAAAATAAACTTGAAGTTTAAAATTAATAATAGTTTAAAAAAATCCAAACCCTATAATAATAAAGAGGACATGATGACCGATGTTCATCTTCATTTTCACTTTTTTTTTTCGACTCGTCATATTAGTATCCGTGTGTATATAAGGTTGTTATGAGTTTTATATTAAGGAGCCTCATATAAATGAAATGTAGTTTATAGATTTAAGAGTCTCTCCTATCTAATATAGATTAATATTTTAGGCTTGAGTTCACCCTTTCGATATTCATAACAAAAATGCTTTCTTAAGAGGTTGATGTTCACGAAGAGAGCTATCACAAAAAAATTCCGAATGACAAGGAGGTGGGTGAACTACTATAGATTTATTAGTTCAATTTTGTGAGATTGGATGGCCATTCTTTTAAAGTTGCATTCTAACAAGCTCATTTGTGTGCTACTCTGGTCTTATTTATAGGCAAAGAGAATCTATTTTTTAGTTTTATTTATAAGGCACTGAGAGAAATTTTGTTAATATAGATATACAATTTTACTCTTTATTTATTATTGTGTTGATTTTATTTATATGAAGTATAATATGTATTAAATAGGGATAAAGTTAAAAAACTGTTAAATTTTAAATAAGAGTCAATGATATTTAAAATTTTTCTTAGTCTGTGTAAAACATGTTAGAAGTGACTTATGAATAGAACCAGAAGAGTTGGTGTTTATATCCAAATGCCACAAAAACTTGGACTAGTTTTAATATAGAGAACTAATCTTCAGTTTCTGTTTGCGACCAATCAACTTTCAGATTGCTTTAGTTTAATAAGGATCAGAGAGTATTAAAGATCAAAGACAGCATGTATTTATATCCAAATGCTATTAAAAAAAAAAAAACAAAGCAAACAGAACTTCCACTTGTTTATTTATAGAAGACTTAATCCTGAGTTTCTGTTTGGGACCAATTAACTTTCAGATTACGTTACTTTAGTAAGTACGTTGGAGTGACAGAAAATGTTATTGGTTGGGTGATACATTAAGTTTTAGTAATTTTTGGGTTTTGTGTTTATTAAAAAAATTGATTAGATCCATTCAAACAATGATTAAACCTTGGGAATGGTTGAGATGTGCCCTAGACCCTATGTAGTCAAAGATTCTATATCCAATTCCCATATCAAAAAATAAAGATCTGATCATCACAAGTTCACAACTAAAAATTAACAAAGTGACACAACTTTTTAACATTAAAAAAAAAAGCACAAAATTTGATATATTTTCTTTATACAGTTCATGTATCTGAAACCTGAGATGGATCAATTCCTTTCCAGAGAATTGTTGAATGTGTCAGAGAACGAACACTGAGAGACTTGAAATATACATAGATAATACAAACTCCTCAGACAGGTTAATTATGCTTGCATGCATCACTTTCTTTTCTTCACTTTTTATTTTTATGTTTATTTTTTTTTAATATATCATTGTTATGCTTCCTTCAATCCTCGTGCTTGGGGAATATAATAAAGTGTCATTTTGATAATAAAAGGCGATATTCAGGAACTTTAAATGATGATCAGTTTTGAGCTGTAATCCACAGAAGAAGAACACTTGGTTATGGCCCTGTGAGGCTGTAACCAGACCAAAAGCTGCACAAAAGGAATATAGATATTTTTATATCTAGGGTTTCAATCATGAAAACCTTGGAAAATATAATCCACCACCGTTTGTGGCTTCAAATCTGCTCATTGTTCCTTTAACCAAAGCATATATATATATATGATGAGAAAATTTGGATAAAAATATCTGTTTTAAGATTTTATCGTCTAATTAAAAAGGCTTGGTGTAACTCATCTTTAATGGGTTCAATTCTTCTCTAATTTTACACAATAGCTTTAAAGATATGCCCAAAAAAAATCTTTAAAATGAAAGTTATATGTGTGTATATATATAGTTGAAGATATATTATACATATTTGATGAAGAGCTGTACCCGCTCAAATTCAAGTCTTTTTTTAGCTAATAAAATTATCAAATTAGTGTTTTAGACCAATTTTTCCTATGTAATATTGCCACTTTTCACCCAAAAAAACGTTAGTTAAACCATATAAGTACAACACATACATAATATTATATGAATAACATATTAATTTAATCGTATAATTGTCCCAATAACTTATATATAAACGATATATACAAAAATGAAAGTATATGAGGGGAAGATGGAAAGAATAGTGAGGACCCAAGAAATAAAGAGAGAAAGAAAGAGATCAAAACAACCTTACTTTGTGGTGTGTGTGAGCTGAGAGGGGGGGGGGGAATGAGATTCCGCAGGGCTAATAAAGAGTTAATGGACCAGCCATCACTGATTGGTCCTTTTCTTGCATTTTTTTTCAACCTTTTCCTTTTTCACCGCTCCATCCTTATTAAAGAGTCCTTGGAAACATCTTGGAGCCTCTCACATGATTAAAAAAGTGAAGACTTTTGTATAATACCATCTCATATTCTACTCCTCTGGTCCTATTTAAGAGGTAAAGAGAGAAGATATTTTGTGATCCTATTTATAGGACACTAAGAGAAACTTTTTGTATTGATATACAATTTTACCCTTCATTTATTATTGTGTTGACTTTATTTACATGAAGTATAATTATATCAAATGGGGATAAAATTAAAAAGTTGTTGAATTTTAAATGAAGTTAATAAGTTTAAGATTTTTTTTCTGTGTAAATATGTTGGAAGTGACTTATAAATAGAACTAGAGAGTATGTTAATATACAAACAAACATATCTAGTGTCTTTTATTTTTATTTTTTATATTGAAGTTTACGTAGTCGAGTTTGGATAAACAATTTAAAATTTAGAGAAACATCCTAAAAAACAAATTGGCTTAAAAATAGTTTGGAATGACGATAAGATCTTTCAAAAATAATTTTTTAATAGTAATTTACAGAATACGAGATAAATATATGAGAAAAGTCTTATCTCACCTTATATTCACACATATTGATAGACATTTAATATAAGAATCTTCAAACAAGCCCTTACGAAGCATAGCGAAAATTCTCATGCTATGGATAGTTTTATTTTAAACGTAATTGATTTACTAAATATAATTATTTATTTTAAACTTTCAAACATTATTACAATTAGAAAGGGTTGAAATAGTGTACTTAAGGGGGCCAAAAAAGGCATGTGATACCAGCACAACAAAAATCCCACCCAACAAATCCTCTTATTAGCTTCCCTTGATTCTCTCATTATTCAACCCTCGTGATCATAACAACTCATTAGTCTTACACCTTTTTACCAAATCACATCACGGATCATACCAGAAATTAACGATATATGCATAACAAAAGATATAAGCTATCAACAAATAAAAATATTCATATATATATATATGAAGGTCAAATTAAAGTTTATTTTAATTACTATATATATACTCTCTCCAGTCCTATATATATAAGTTTCAAATAACCAAATCATCTTTAACGAACTAGCAATTAAAATTAATTAAAAATAATAAATATATCAGAAATGTAATTTTTTTCCTTCAAATTTTTTCTTATTTATTAAGAGAGTAAATGAGAGAGGCAATAAATGAAAAAAGTGATGACAGAGAATATATGAGGTAATATTAATGAGAGGGAGGGAGCACTAAATACAATTAACTAAGGGCAAAATAACAAAAAGAAATAATAAATGCTCAGACAAACTAAAAAAATGAAGCTTATATTTTGGATCAAATCTGTCTGCAAAAGTGAAACTTATATACAAGACAGGAGGGAGTATTGGCTTAGTATTCTCACGTAACAGAAGTTTTTCTTCTCTTTTGATAGAAAATTTTATGTAAAGATTAAAATATATTAAAGAATCCTGAAAATCATAATTAAATTACAATGTATTGAACATAAATGCGATAAAATATAATTATTAAAAATATTCTGAAAATTAAATAGTTTATTTTTGAGTTTAATAAATAATTTAAATTCTTAAAATAATTAAAATTTTAAAGATATTTAGATCATCGAAACTGTCCCATAATACTAATAATAATTATTAATTAAGCATGAAAAAAAGGTTATATGGTTCATCAACTTCCCCATGTTCCTGTGATCCCCATTTACATGTCCCCACCTTTCCCCACTTCTTATATAACCCCACCCTCCTCCCTTCCCTCCTTCTTCATCCATTCCCTCACTTTCCTCATCTTCTCCTTCTTCTGATCATTCTGCCAGTATTAACACATACTTCATATTTCCAACTACGTACAACCCCACAAAAATGTGCCCCTCAAAGGCCAACAAAGTCACTGTAGGCCTAGAACCCACCGCTACCGCCACCGCTACCGCCATGACCACGGCCAAGCTCAATGGCCGGCTGGTCCTTCAGCCCACCTGCAACCGAGTCCCAACCCTAGAGAGAAGAAGCTCGATCAAGAAAGTGCCGCCAAAGCCACTTTCTGTAAGCAGCAAGACCACCACTACTTCTGCTCCAGTTTCTCCAAAGTCAAAGTCTCCTAGGCCTCCTGCTATAAAGAGGCCAGGCAACAATAATGATAGTAATAGCTTGAACTCAAGCTCTGAGAAAGTTGTGACCCCAAGAAGCTCCATGATTAAAACTAGTTCTCGTCCTACCTTGGAGAGGAAGAAGTCAAAGAGCTTCAAGGAGGGGTCTGCCGTGGTGGAGGCTTCGTTCAGTTATTGTTCGTCGTTGATCACTGAGTCTCCTGGAAGTATTGCTGCTGTGAGGAGGGAACAGATGGCTCTTCAGCAGAAACAGAGAAAGATGAAGATCGCTCATTATGGAAGATCCAAGTCTGCCAACTTTGAAAGAGCTCCTCTTGTTGATAATTCTTCTTCTTCTTCCTCGGACTCTTTGATCACCACAAAACCAAATGAGGAGGAGAAGCGATGCAGCTTTATCACAGCCAATTCTGGTAATAATTACTTATAGAACTCAAATTATCTTCTTTTTTCCCCTCCAAAAAGCAATCATTTTGAGAACCCATATGTGAAATGATGTCTTACCTTAAACACAGAATTAATTTACTAATCTGAAATTCTCTGTCCGATGGATAGATCCCATTTACGTTGCTTATCATGATGAAGAATGGGGAGTTCCAGTTCATGATGACAAGTAAGGCCACCCCTCTCTCTCTCTCTATATATATTATTTATAGTCTCTATATCCCTATCTCTCACATAAATATAAACAATTTCACACATCATAAAACAAATACAGAAAATGCTGACTCAAATGACAATAACCCTCAATTATATGTAAATACAGAATGTTGTTCGAACTTCTTGTTCTAAGCGGCGCTCAGGTTGGATCAGATTGGACCTCAATCTTGAAGAAACGTCACGATTTCAGGTTGGATTCTTCTCAAAGAAGCTCACTACATTTTATATATATATAGATATATGTGATGGTGAAATTAATAAGTTTGATGAATTAATGGTTTCTGAAAACAGGAAAGCGTTTTCAGAATTTGATGCAGAAACTGTGGCGAACTTGAGTGATAAGCAAATGATGTCTATCAGCTCTGAATATGGCATTGATATTAGCAGAGTCCGAGGCGTTGTTGATAATGCTAACCGAATTTTAAAGGTATGCACAAATAATTAGCCTCTAATTTTGTTGAACTTGATATTCTCAAATCTCAAGTATACATACATAAACTATAAAATCTGGGGGGCGACTTTAAAATAAAAAGAAAATAAACCACTTTTGTGCTACATGAATTATATAATTATTTGTCTCTTGGCACTATCAACTGATATATACAAGTCCCAGTTTTGCTGGGGCCCAAATGAAAATAACATAAAATTTTCAATATTTCATATATGACAACACTTCACAAACTCCTTTTTTTGTTACCTCAAGTCAGGCTTTCAATGATAACGACTTATTCCCGGCTACATCTTAATAATTTTCTCTCATTGAACTACTCTACATCTTAAAGCTATATAAGGCTAAAAACAGTTATATAAAGTTATGTAGTTGACAAGTTATAAATAGTGCAAAAAATCTTATTTTTCATACCAAAACTTGTAATAAAAACTACTATGCAGTAATATATTTTATAAAAGGTCAGTAAATTCAAAAGTATATGACTCTGAAGGAATCACGGAGATGCATTCTTAAGATCACCCAAGAAAAAGGAGACGTGTATTATTATGACTACTTATGAGTCTATCTATTTAATGACTAATATGCTGTGTGGGCAAATTATGCCGTTATTGCAGATTAACAAGGAGTTTGGTTCATTGGACAAATACATATGGGGGTTTGTGAACCACAAACCCATCTCAACTCAATACAAGTTTGGCCACAAAATCCCAGTGAAGACCTCAAAATCAGAAAGCATTAGTAAAGACATGGTACGAAGAGGGTTCAGGTTCGTTGGTCCAACCGTGGTTCATTCATTCATGCAAGCAGCTGGCCTCACCAATGACCACTTAACCACTTGCCACAGACACTTGCAATGCACTATCCTTGCAGCTCCCAGCCCCATCATCCGTACCACCATAGAGACCCCTACTCCACAGTGAACATTAATTCCCAAGAGAGAAGAAAGTGTTGGAACTGCCAGCAAAAAACAAACATAATATATGGTTCGAGTCGTGCTTGGAGACACTGTTGATTGACCCAAAAAAGCTCAACATACAAATGCTTCTATAGCCTGCTAACTATAGTTCAATTTCATCAGTACTTGTATTGTGCATAAAATTATTAGGCAAAAGATGTTTTCATTGTACTTAGCTTATTAGTTGGTGAAGTTTGAGAGTGAAGATTTTATTCTTAGATATAGAGTAGGAGCTTCTTGTATAATTTTATTACTGCTATGTATTTGGAGAGAGTAATTAATGACTAAGAGACTATGTATTAAATGAGTTGAATCCCAATGAATATTTGGAGATATTATATTGTTGTAATGAAGAAGGAGGTGGTGGGGGACTTGGGGGACAGTGAACATGTGAATGTGGGAATAGGGGCAAAAGCAAGGGCATGTGTGGGTGTCAGTATGCTTTATTAGAAGAGGCCATGTGACCCATCAGATTTTGCATTATTTGTGTCTCTTTCTCTTTCTTTCTCATTCTTTAACAGCCTGTTTGTGGGTGTGGCCTGGGCATATATACACTCTTATGCAGAGGTCACTGTGTGTAGGACCACCAACCCCTCTTCTTCCCTTTCTTTTTTACCCCTTTCTCCTTTGTTTTTTGTATTCTCAAAACTTTTTGGCCTTGTGGGGGTCAATATTGTTATGTCATGCCCTTCGAGTTGGTTTGCGTTTCTTTCTAATACTTTTCAATCCATCTGTCATGTGCTTCTCTACTGTTTAAATGGTTCTTATTATAACTCACTGAGTAGAGTACTAATTATATTTTTCTAAGATTGCTTTCTATGTGACTTTTTAGATGCAATTCATGGTATTAAGTATGGATTAAATTGGGAAATTACTTTTTCACTTTCAGATAAAGTGAATAACTTAACCACCTTTTACTGATTTTGTCTATCAAGGTGATTAGAAGTGTTTTACTGTAATAAGGATCAGAGAAAGTATATAGACGTGTGTGTGTGTGTGTGTTAACCTCAGGAGATAAGCTAAGTATATTCACCCATGTGCTCACTTCCTTTTATGAATCAAACAATCCCTTTCTGTCTTTAATTCTTACCTTTATGCTATTATTACTTCTTCAAAAATATCAGCAAAGCCTTCTATCAAACTCGATTTAAATCATGTATATTCACTCAACCTTCAGACTGTAATTAAATGTAGGGTTAATATAATTTCTGGTTTCTTAAGTTTGCTCTTATTTTGATTTTGATCCCTCAAGTTTCAAGCTATAGATTTTAGTCATTTAAGTTTCATTTCATTTAAAGCATTGGTCCTTATAATCAAAAAAAAAAAAAAATTGAACCATTTTACTTTTTGAGGGACCAAAACCTATAGTTTGAAACTTGAGAGATCAAAACTAAAATAAGAACAAACTTAAAGAACCAAAAATTATATTAACCCTTTAATCTAATATGACTTGAATTTAACTGTCACGTCATGTTGATATAATTGAGAGCCCTAGTTAGCTGAAATAAAACACTAAGTAACTGAATTAATAATCATGTGATCATTCATTTAAAGTCCTTCTATCCACTTATCTTCTCTTTTTATTTTTATCTGAATACAAAATACATGTATAATCATTTTTAAATCAATGACCATATATATAGGAGTCAGCTGTATTATTAGGTTCAGAGTTGAGCTTACTAAATTACATATAGAAGGATAACTTGCGTTTTGCAGGAAACATTTAATACAGTACACATGGGGAGAGAGAGAGAGAGAGAGAGATGTAACCAAATGCAGGAGATGAGGTTACTGGCATGACAAGGAAGAGACCCTACTTGAATAAATGAGAGATACTACTAGTTGATGACAAATATATACTAAAAAACGACAACAACTGACTCCATAGCTATTGACCAAGTCTCCCTCTCTCCCAGGCTAGCTTTCTCTCTCTCTCTCTATATATATATGTATATGTATATGTGTATGTATATCATACAAACAGCACGTGTATGCATACAATATAAGAGAAGGTCAGACCAGAGGAGGTCAATCTGAGTTCTAGATGGAGTTTTGGAGTCAGAACAAGAGATATTGCTACCTCTTGTTTTTAATGTAAGAAATAGATAACTAATTTGCGGATAGTAAGAAAATTAGTTAAGTTAGTTATGTATAATAAATGAATATTGTCTTCTCTAAAATATCTTTATTAATCATGTATATCAGAGCTACTTCTTGATGAAAACTTCTTAACATGCTTAATCAATATAGGGATTATTTGTAATTAAATTTTGATATTAACAAATTTTCCTTGGAAAGTTGGCAATAAAAAATTTCCCTTGGAGAGAATTAGAGCCCGTTGATAGGCAGAACATGTGATAAAGGAAAAGAAACCAAACTTCAATTTTCCCCCCTCCGCGAAGTGAAGCAAAATTGAATGGATGGGCGTGATGATGATATGAATTGAAATTTGAAACCATAGATGAGTGACTAATGGGCTCGAAGATGTGTTCATTGGGCCTGGAAGAAGTGGGCTGAGGAAGAAAGGCCCGTTTTGGTATGTTGGGTTCATTCCTTCCAACCACTTGTATGACATAGTTTAGCAATGAATCCCTTTTATCTTTTATTTTTTATTGTAAAAAAAAGGAGAATCCCTTTTTATTCCAAAAAGGATTAATATAATATTTAGTTGCTCAAATTTGTCCTCATTTTGGTTTTGATCCCTCAAATTTTAAACAATAAGTTTTGGTCCCTCTAGGAACAAAATGATCCAAGTTTTTATTAGATTATAGGAACAAATGTTTTAAATGGAAAAAAAATTTAAAGGACAAAAACTTATGATTTAAAATTTGAGAGACTAAAACCAAAATGAGAAAAAATTTAAAAAATCAAAGTTCGTATTAATCCTTCAAAAAATATAAGAAATAAATTATATTACTCCCTACTTATAAATCGTGTCTTATTTTCATATATTATATTGATGATGGTTATATTGACATTGATCTTAAATTAAATCAAAAAATCCATATATATTGCTATATTATGCTTTCCTGACCAAAAGTATCTTGCTGATATATAAAATAAAATTTTCTAAAAATTATATTATTCTTAAATTATGAATAATGTAGTTTCTTTTTTAATATCGTGTAAGCATGTAAGGAATTGAAAATATAAAGTTAATATAAATCTAACAAACTAGATTCCGTCTGCTATGAAAAGTGTTTTTTTCCCCCATTAAAGAAAGGTGTTAATCACTGACAAATGCTTCTTCTAGTCTTTTCTTATAATTCACTGGAATGATTTTAAACACAAGCAATAAAATTTTTTTATCTGATTGATGGCCAAAAAAAAAAATTTATCTCATCTTTCTATGCCTACCTTATTAAAGTGGGTCACCCAGGCTATAATTGGTTTAATACAGGTTTAAAATGGTTAGATGAGGAAAAAAAAATTGGGTTCAGATGGTTGAATGTGAATCCTGAATCTTATGCTGTTTTTATTATCTTTTGTCAAAAAGTTAAATCGAGTACTTAAATCATTAAATAGGTTGTCTTGAAAAAAAATTTTAAAAAAAATTTAAAATTTTTCAGAAAATCTAGCTCCTCATAATGTGTTGAATAAAGTTTGAATTCTTATTAAGAAAAAGTGTGCATAATCAAATAAAATTGTCCACAACAAAAAATCATCTGTGCCTACCAAAATAGGAAAAGTGGGTCTCCCTTCCATTGAAATGTTCTAGTCTTCAGGCCCAAAAATGAAAAAAAAATGTTCTAGTCTCGTTCAGGCAAAAAAAAAAAAAAGTGAAGAAAAAATGTTCTAGGCTCGTAACATGGTGAATGCCGAATGGAACTTCTTATTACTTTTGTTGCCCTCTTCGGGTCAGTTTCACATATACACTGTACTTCCGCAAAGAGATGAGGGTTTTAGGCGGAGAAAGTTTAGTGAGCTCTGCGAATAGCTCAGAGGCTTAAACCCTAAATTCAAAAAATGGAATTGCAATCTGTTTGTTGTGGGCTTCCCTCTCAAACATTTTCTTCTAATCATCGCTCCTTGGAATTCTTCCATTCGAAGTCGTCATTGAGATTTCAGGGACTTCGCCCTGCAGCTGCGTCCAAACGTACATTTTCTTGTCAGTTGAATATCTGGGTGGATGTCATAATTTTTTTTTCCATATTATTACATGGTGGCGTGTTTCTATCTTTTCTCTTTCGCACCGTCTTCTGTCTAATATTCTCATAAGACGAAATTTTGCGGCACATTCCGTTTCAGGTTTGAAATGGCTGACTAGAGAACCTTTACGGTTGCGCTTTAACAAAAGGTCTGTTATTAATGCTTCGATTTCCAATGAAGATGGTGGATTGGAATTAAATCCAGGACAGCGTTCTAGTGTGCCTGTTACTAGATATCATGGGGTGGAGCCATTTCGTGGAAAATCAGGTTCTGTTTCTTTCTATGGGTTAACACACCACGCAGTTGAAGAGAGAAAATTGGTGTCCGCTCCTTTTCAAGAAGAGAAGGGCTCTCTCGTCTGGGTCTTAGCCCCACTTGCGTTCATATTGTCTTTGATTCTTCCGCAGTTCTTCCTTGGCAATGTGATTGAGGCGTTCTTCAAAGATGAGATTCTAGTAGGTATTTATAGAACCTTGTACTTGCTCTTCACATTTTTGTGAATTCGGCACGTCTTTATACTGTGTTTGTGTTTCTGTGTATTATGATGCATCTATATTTTGTCTGTGTTAGAATTCCTCTGCCAGAAAGATCAAAACTTTCGAACGTCTATTTATATTCGTTTCATTAATGATCGATAAGAAGTTCAATGATATGCTGAAGTTATAAGTTGCGTCAACTACTCAACTCCAGCACAAGCCTCTAGTTTGTGCTACCACCACTCCACATCTGTATGTAACTCGCATCATTATTGGCCAAAGTCAAAAAGGAAAAAAAGAAAAAGAAAGAAAACACACACACACGCCCCATTAGAAGTTACTACTTATGTGATCATTGAAGACTCATGCAGGCAGGATTCTGAAAAGCAGCTTCATAATGCTGTTATGTTTACATGCTCATGTTATCAATTAAGGCGAATGTTGACTGAGGTGATAACTAGAGTTTAAGATTTCTGTAGCTTCCTTTATCCAAGCTGTCTTCTGGCCCAATTCCCTGAGCTTTATATGATTTACTACTATAATAATTAATTGAATTTCATTTAAAATTTCAATACCAAAACAGAAAGTAGAGTAAATGATTTTTGTGGTGATGCCTCTAACAACATGACCTTCGCTTCCTTCACCTATCACCTATCCAAACAAAACAACAGGGGATGAAATAGAGAAGCCTTGATGTTTATTAGATTGTGAGG